GTTAATAAAACAAACTGAGAAACTGTCTATTGTATTATGTTCTGTCTATCAATGACCTCCAATCTGTCTCAGCACCATGGACAGCGCCGCACCTACACATGCACCCTCTACACACAAAACTAACTGGCTGCAGGGTTCCAAACAATGATGTTGATAAACAATGCACATGATTGGGTCACAGTGATACTGTTTGTCTCATTTAATTTACAGGTTTTGAGAAAATAAACACAAATTCAATTCAGGTTTTAATTCACATGTTTAAAAGTCAGCCTCGGCTAACCGCAGCCAAAGACTCATCGTGGCCGTGCATCGCGGCCGTGCATCATGGCTGTGCCTTGCACAAGGTTGAACTGTTAGCAACATCTTCCCCTCCATCTCTGTTTAGACTTCTGTGTGAGTGGTGAGCTCACTGCTGTGGTGCAGCAGCCGAAGGTTTGCAATAAAATCTCAAGTTGGAGTATGCTAGTACTTTGAGGTGAATCATGTTTGCCTCCAGTCTTTTCTTAGTTTTTGTGCCACCTATCACCGTGTCGCAATTATGAGGAAAAGGGTCTATCATTTGCCTCCTTACCCCCTGCAGACGGGTAAGGAAAAACATTAAAGTATATGCTGTTTGTGGCTGAAGATGGAAAAGACTGGTATCAGTGGTTGCCTAAAGAATGTTTTCTTACAGAGAACTGCCTCCACAGGTTCCTTGGAGCTGCTGTATGAGAGGAAAGTCACATACGCTCACATCCGCTCACAGAGGAACCTAGGGGCCCCACCCAGTTCAAGTCCTCCAGTAGGCTATGTCCTTCAAATGAGAAAGAAATTGGAGCAGGGGCCTAAATTGATGCATTGCAATATGGTTTAAGCACAGGTGAGGCAAAAACACCGATGTTTTTCAGCGAGGACATTCTGTCGCCAACATCAGACAATAAGCTGTTAGCGTGGTGGCAGATTCCCTTTAAAAGAAGATGGCTGCTGCAACATATGAAATTAGTATCCACGTCTCAGCATAGGAGGAAGAGACAGACATTTCATTTAAATCTGCTCCTGGTATAAGGAGGACAATTCACCTCGACTTGAGATGCCATATTCCACATGCACTGATATCAGGTCAGCACAGTCTGTAGGACTATGTAATAACATAAATCACATGACACAAACAACAGCTACCATGAGAAGCTTTCTTTTACAAAATAAACAGGCTACATATTACCAATAGAGTGTTATGTTCTAACATAACAATCTAAGTGTGACAATATGTCTGATTGCACCGAATAGCAGCAGATTTCCTGCAGATATATGATCGCTTTTGTGATGCTTTTATTCTGAATAATTCGGGACGGAAGTGTTTTTCGTGTTGCTACTGGCTTGACTTGACTGTGGTCCTCTGGAGCAGCAGCGTGGACTAATGGAATGAGAGTGTGCACCGGGTCCGGGAGAGCAGATGAGCAGCTGGATGTTCCACAGAGACACCTGATCCGTTCCACGGGTTAGACTCAGCGCTGCAGACTCGACCGGCCTGCCGTCGTTCAACGCTTCGCCCGATCTTCCGCTGCTCGTTGCTGTCTCGCTTCTGTCTCCATCGGTTCTTCTGTTAGGAGGATGCGACGGGCCCGCGGTGCTCTGCGCACTGTGGACACATCCAGCTGCTGCTGTTCTGCTTTCAGATGCCTGGAGCTTCATCTTCAACACCGAGAACACATCCGAGTGATCGGGATCAAACACTAAGTGAGAGGGAGTAAGAAGGCGTCGTGTGGGGCAGGCATCACTGTCGGAGTCTCTTCCATCCTTCTTCAGCGAGGTATGAAACAACAATCAGATTCCATTGAGCTAGTATGACTCTTATGATCTATTCGTACATATATATCTGTAGGTGTTTCTACTCTGAGGTCAAAAGCACTGATGGGCCTGTCCAGTCCTGGGATCAGTGTTATTGTGTGCTGTGGGCTCGGTGTGTGGAGGTGGCCTGCAGCACCGCTGGACATTCAACCACTCCAGCTGTCAGGATTACATGCGCTGTAACTACAGTCACGGCATTTAAACAGTACATGCTTCATTGTACTGTGTGTCCATATCAGTGAATGTGAATATGTGTGTTCTACCTGCAGGGCTGCTCCGAGCCTTCATATGGCCCCAAAGTACCAAAGAGATGTTTTACACACCAGACGAAATAAATGATTGCCAAAAATGTAAATAGTGTTAAAACAGAATATCATTTCAGTAATAGCTGACAAAAATGAAAAAGATATTGAAACTACATATTGCCTACATATGACCTAATATACAGTACATACAATGGCCACTTTGTTAGATACACCGGTTCAATCTATTGACATTCAATACAAAGGCTTTGCCGTAAACTGTACCATTGCTGAGTCAACATTGGTGGAAAGGTGGACATTTATCTTTGAGCAGTGCGTTTTACTGGACATCATTATATTGAGACGTGTTTCTGTTTATCCTCCTCTGAGAGGGCAGAATATTAGAAACACTAAAACAATGAAATAGAACTAATAATGGACTGTTGCCAACTGTTGCATTATGTTGTATAACATGGAGATAGATGATCAAATAAGGAAACCAATAATAAATATCTAATAATAATTCATTTTCTTAATTTTTCATGCTAATTTTTGCTCATATTTGAGGCTGGCTTTGTATTCTATATATGAAAGTTTTGGATAACACACTACACATCCTCATATTTATATATATATAATATTTTCATATATGTTTTTAAAAGTAGGCTGTTTCTCAGCCCTTCTAATTAAGGGATGTTCTTTACAAAGTATTTCATATTGCTCATCCAGCTTCATGTTATATTTGCTGCATTTACCATTCATCTTTAGCTTTAGTCAGATATAAGAAATAAGTGAAAATAATCAAATGTTTGAGTGTTTGATGAAATAATGATGATAGCAGTCCCCATAGGGAAACACTTCTCAGGCAAACAGCAGAGCCCTTCAGTGAGTCCTCCAGGAGAAACACAACAGGCCTTGATGATGGATCCTTTGATGGAAGTCAATGGCTCATGGCATGGGTGGTTCCTATGGTGACAGTGATTCAGAGACTGAGATGAATATTTGTCTAAAGGAGTGTTGTCATCATTGTTAAAATGAATGTATTCTTCTTCAAAGACATAATCCCAGTGAGCTGCTGTTGATGGGATTCATTCTTTCACTGTCACTGAAGTATTTCCTACACCTTGATAGTAAGATCACACTGTTACTGTGACTCTGTCAGACTACAGTGTCACCTGACTTCACCTTTAGTGGGCATTTGAAATGCATAGACAATAGGCTTTGACAAACATATTTTTTTTATCAAGCTACATTTATCTTATAATACAACAAAACATTAATCAGACAGATTAGGCTGTATAAGGCAGTTATATCCAGTAGTAGTAGTACACTTTCATTCAGGCTGTTCTCATCCAGCATTTGTAGCTATATGAAAAATAATGCGATGTAATTTGTATATATACCACAAAATCTGATGGTATATAATCCACTGATCATTTAGCAGACAGACTCCACTCAGAACAGCGGAGGGTCACCTGGAGACCTCTGTTTGTTCCCTGTGTGACAGGAGAACTCGTGTACTTCAGTAACGTCTCTTCTGTAGTTATTTGAACCCAAACAACCATCTTTTCCAAAACATAAGAATGGTATTTTTGCCTAAAAGTATTTCACAATCTATTGCTAAATCTCACTAAGTTGTTTCTTGTCAAGACCAGTTTATTTTGAAAAGACTGTATGCATGTAGCGAGCGGGCAATGACACGTGTGGCTGGCTTTGCTATAAAAAGCCATGAACTATTGTAGAATATCATCCACCATACATTTTTGATTTATTAATTGGGGTTTCTAGAGCCATGTTCTGCATATATTTGCCCTCTGACAAATGAAACCATCTGAGTTATTTAGTTATTGGTTTCAACATAGTCTCAATGGTGCTGCAACCTCACACCTGCATTTATATATCCAAGGTACAGTAAGCTTCATATGCATGAAATCACATTTCTCTTCTCTTGCACACTTCTCAACACTTGATGGATTTTCACATCACTTCTCCGTATCTGTGGTTTTAAAGGCTGCGTCCACCTGTCTCTCCTGCTCGTCTCATTACTTACTTTTGAGTCCACATTTGGCAGCAGAACAAAACAATTCCATTGAAAATATTTGATATTTCGTATTGTTAATAACCTTGACATAATATCACACGGTGAAGAGAAATGGAAGTGTTCTTCCTCGTCACGATGAACATACTCAGGAAAAGGTGCAGAAAAGGTGAACAGCCACTGAATGCAAACAGGAAGCATGTTTCCATTCACTCAACAAACATCTGATGGTCGCTACAGTTGAATTACCACGTGTTGAAAAGGTATTGTGACTAATTGAAATGTAATGAGGTCTAATTGTTGACGTCTACTATGGCTATCAGCGCTACTGACTGAAGGCTCAGAGGGCCTTCAGGCTGTAGCAGTGCTGCTGCTAGGAGCCAAACAACGGGACCGGTACGGAACCTTTAAGGCCAATACTGATATGAGAGTTCTTTATCAAATATGGTAACAATATATTGTCCATTAGCGGCCGAAATGAGCTTCCTCCGTAGGGTGGCCGGGCTCAGCCTTAGAGATAGGGTAAGGAGCTCGGTCATCAGGAGGGAACTTGGAGTTGAGACGCTACTCTTTCGCGTCGAACTGAGTCAGCTGAGGTGGTTCGGGCATCTAATTAGGATGCCTCCTGGACGCCTCCCACTGGAGGTTTTCCAGGCACGTCCAACTGGGAAGAGACCCCGGGGAAGACCCAGAACACGCTGGAGGGATTACATCTCCCAGCTGGCCTGGGAACGCCTCGGGATCCCCCAGAATGAGCTGGAACATGTTGCCGGTGAGAGGGAGGTCTGGGTCGGCCTGCTTGGCCTGCTGCCACCGCGACCCGACCCCGGATAAGTGGAGGAAAATGGATGGATGGATGGATATATTGTCCATTATTCATACTATTAACATAAACAAATAATGAAACATTGTTAATAAAGATCTCTTAAATGTGGTTTGTAAAGAATTGTGAGCAACAGTGTGTACATATTCTGCGTGTGCATACACACACACACTCTCTCTTTCTGTTTGTTAAGCTATTTGTGTCATCAAAAAGTTGTGACCAAGATATGTAGGTAACTAAGAGTTTACATTGAAAAATAAACTTGTGAGGGCTCTCTAGCAGACAAATATGTAATATATATATATATATATATGTAATATCTGTCATGAGCTAATATCAGCAGGCACACGCTAACACACTAACAGTGAAGATGATTATGCATAATAATGTCTAATGTAGTTTTGTTTATTTGGCATTATGACATAGAGGACAATGAATCACAACAAAATAGTGTTATTGTGTGCAAAAGTAAATGACTCAAACTCTCAACACCACAGAATCCAAAGGAACATGTTGGTGTTTAAGTTCAGCAAGCAAAGATCAGCACTCTGGATAGTTCCCCCAAACCTACAAGGTACTGAGATACTGAGCAACTCTCTTTTTATCAACTGAGTTGTGTTTAATCGCTCAAGCCTTCGGAGGTAACTCCAGAAACTACACAAGCAAGCTGCTCCACCCATACCTGCATTCAGTATTTGATCACATCTGGTGTTTGGAGATTAGTCACTCTGCTTGTTGTTTGGCCCTAATCGTTCAAAACGCTGAGCTCAGTTGTTAATGCAGAGTATCGATCAGTACTGACCTATGTCTTCACTGTTCTCTCTTCATCTTCAGTCCTGTCCATTGATGTGATGGCTGTGCTTTGGGGGCTTCCTCTCTCTGTGCTTCTTCTGTCGCTGCACGCTCCGAGTCGAGCATCTCCTTCCTGCCCTGTGAGCTGTCGCTGCTACAGCCTCACTGTGGAGTGTGGGTCCACCAGCCTGAGGGACGTCCCCAAACACATTCCTCCATCCACACAGGTAGGGCCTTATGTTGAGCTCATAGGAGTGAGCCACGTCAGATTCAGCAAACACTTCTAACTTCAGATAACTGTGTAAGCGACCAGCGGAGACATTATGAAACCACCTTTGCTTGAATGAGCCTTCGTGAGAATTGTGATTAGCATCATCAACGCCTCAATGATAAAGCTTTGTGTCCTGCTGTTACGACAAGTGGAACCTCAGGAAGAACATGACTCAAATGCACGACCTAAACAACAACTTCACTTATCAGCAGAGGCTCAGTACACAGGTAGGCAGTCAGAACGGGCAAACAAATCAAGCAGGGATGAGGAAGAAATGTGTTCAAGGAAAAACAGGCAGAGACAACAAACACCAGGAACATAACAGTAGGAAAATAGCTGGACACAGAGGGCGAAGACAAAATGGCACAGAGACAGGGGAACACAGGGTTTAAATGCACTGGGGAGGTGTAGTTGGATCCAATCAGGGGCGGGGCACAACGACAATCAATCAGTGCAAAGGGAGGAGTCCACAGGAAGTCTCCATCACAGAGCTTGAGGAGAGAAGACATGCTTCTGGTGATGCTGACAGGCATTTAAACAGAGGTGGTTTGTCTGGACAGAGACTTCCATAAACCTGCAAGTGAAGAACCATCCATATGTCAGGACGGCATGTAAAGACATGCTCTCTTCTGATGAGCTACGGAAGGGGTCACAAATAGGCGGACCGAGGTCCGGATCCAGACCCAGACGCCGTTGTATCCGGACCCTGGACCTAAAACCGATAGATAATTGAGAATTAATACATTTTGACGGAGCGCTTCTCTTTTAACCGGCGCAGCTTTTCCAGCCTTTACGGCACTCGTTCAGCGGTGCAGGAAACACACCGACCAATCACATGCACATTAAATCACATCTCGTGATGCTGCTCAGCCAATCAAATGTGGGTATTCCGACAAGTTTCCTGACTCCAGTGAGATTTACACACACAGGGGAGAGACGAGGAAAGAGAAGGAAGAGTCGGAGAATAATTACGTGAGTCAGAGAAGTATTTCACATGAAGTTCTCCAAAGAGAGAGAAGTGGTCAGCGAGACACAATAGCAACAATAGCCAATTTTTTATTCTATTATAATTCAAATTGCAGTCAAACAGCAAAATGTCAACATGATGTGGTGTTGATTAAGTGTTCAAAGTAATGAAACGTACAATCCATTCGTGAAGAGCGTAGGTTTGGATAACAACAGGCTATTGTCATATGACTCCTCCTAAAGGTCTGGAACACACGGTGTTTGTACCTTGTTTCGTAAATTGTGTTCGAGAAAATTCAAAATATGAGGAAATTAGTGAAAAGTTCTCCAAAATCCCTGCGAATGGAAGAGTGGATCTAGCATGAAGCCCGTTTCACTGAAAGAGAAGATTACTACGGATGTTATCCTCATCCAGACTGATAACAGAATCCACAAGAACAGCATGATGAAATACAGTTCACCACCAAATCACATCTGAAAGATGTACCAGTGCTAACCACAACTCTTCCTCTGTCCATCTTCATCTTATCTTCTCTCTGTCAAGACCATCTTCCTCCAGGACAACGTGATTGATCAGATCCGTCGACAGGACCTTATTCTGCTCCGGCACCTGCACTACTTGTACCTGCAGGTAACAAGCACACATACATGCACACACCTACAGTACTGCTTCCGACTTGGAACCAGGGATTTGTACATTTGCTATCAATTCAACAGAAATACCACTTAAAAGAAAAAATGCTTAGAAAACAGTTTATCCAAGGAAAAGGTCTGAATATATCCCGCACTGAAAAAACATATGGAAGAAGATTTAAAAAGAAAACATGCTTGAAAAAAATAAATAAATGTTGGCAATTGATTACCATGTACTCAGCCATTTAGTATACGATTATACTACCTAATGAACACTTTGCAAAGTATGTGTAACCACTACTCCTCCATCAGTTAAGATGGGTCCAACTATTGTAGAACACAGATGATTAGTCCTGGAGCCAGTAACTTCCATTATATTATGTTAGCACACATGAAGGTGCTAGTTTCAACATTCAGACCACAGATATGAGGGACTGCCTCCCCTCACTGCTGTCTGTAATACTATGTATACCTTTTCAATTTTCTCATACATATTTCTGTGACGTATTGTTCCAGTACGTCTACTGTACAAAGTAAAAATAATTACAATACAGCATTCAATAAGATATGTTAAATCTTAAAACATTACAGTAAAGTTACAGTGCAATATATATATATATATATATATATATATATACATATATTTATATATATAGTCTGCTGACAGCACAGAGTTGAACAGATAACTTTTATGGACGATGCATTGACACATATCTAGTGTGTTCAAGCTATACTCAATAAACATGAGTATTGGTCGAATCATAACACTATAATGATGTTTTTCGTGTGCCTCACGTGCGGCAACTTGCAAAGATTCAGAGTTGCACGACCAAGCGGCGCGATCACTTACTATGCGCACCACGCGACGGCCGTAGTTACGTCATTTTCTGGGACCCCTCGCGCCGGCTTCACTACGGCGAGTATGAACTAAGCTTTAGTCCACTTCTTATATCTATGATATCCTCGCGGTACAGCGGCACCTTGTGGTCTTCTACTTTTATACGCATGACACTATGTGATATTGTTATGGATACATGCTGTGTGTCAACTTGACTGTTTACAGGTCATACAGTAACCACAGGTTAACTTACTACACATCACAAGTGAGCGAGTCACTTGAGAACACTTGTTAGACTTCACACAGCTCCCTCTGGAGACACTAAAGGCTAAACACATCTTCTTCACACATGCAGTAGTTCTTCCCTGGAACATGAGTGGAGTTCAACTTTAAGTTGAAAACAAACTCTAAACATCACAAACATTGCATTCTATGTGATGTTTAGATGGACACACACAAACAGAGTTTCTCTCAATATTTGAATGTGGGTGAAAAATAGATTCTAAAGCGTGATGGAACAAAGTCAGACGTCTGTTTCAGCAGGAAAGGAACAAAACAGAAGAATCAGCTCCGAAGCAGTTGAGGCACTGATTTAAATATATGCAAATTGTATCAGCAGTGGAAGCTGCAGTTCCTGAGCCGCAAAGATCTTTGTTTGGTCACCCTCGTATGTTCCCCTTCCTCCAGAACAACACCATCTCAGCAGTGGAGCCTGGCTCTTTCCAGAACCAGGGTCAGTTGCTGGAGCTGGCTCTGAACGGGAACCGGGTCCACCTGGTGACAGCTGACATGTTTCAGGGACTCGAACATCTCCGCATCCTTTACTTGGCAGGAAACGACATCACACGCCTACTGGACTACACCTTCCGTGGTTTACAGGTAAGGCATGTTAGAGCACATGTATGATGTCCATGATGTTTCACATGTTTTAACTATAAACTCAATATGTCCTGCTCAGCACTGCAGTGTTCTTCATTCCTAGATGAGGCTCCATAGATGAAATGTACCATTTACCATGTCTCTGCAGCGCCTGCAGGAGCTCCATTTACAGCACAACAGTATCGAGATTTTAGCAGACCAAGCTCTAGTTGGTTTGACCTCTCTGGCTCTGCTGGACCTGAGTAGGAACAATCTTCACACCATTGGCCCTGCGTCCCTGCGACCTCTGGTCAGCCTACAGGTGCTGCGCATCACAGGTGAGACTGGCTTTCTGACATACATGATGTTTGGGGAACATCCTTGGGAAAACTTATTCGTTTTTCTGCTTTTCATTCAAATGCAATCTGCATTATCCTAAAAATGTCCATTTCCTACAAATCGATTGAACCAGGCAGGCAGACTGAACTCTGGTTATCAAATAAAACAATAATAATTTCATTGAATCAGTTTATTTCACATTATTCCCGACTTCTTCATGCAGTCAATGTATGTATGTTACTCCAAAACCTTTAGTCCAGTCATGTCACAATGTAGTTTCCTCATTTTCCATAGGTCAGTCCAGAACCATTCATGACCCTCCTGTCAATACATATACATTGCTTATATACCTCATACACACACACACACACACACACACACACACACACACACACACACACTGTATTCACTCCTCACAAAACATTGTGTTTCAGTACTCTGAAATGTCCTCTCCCTACCACCACCACCAGTGATAGGACCTCGACTGGCTCAGCATCAAGGGGTTCCAACCTAACCTCCTGTGCTCTGCTCTGCTGTAGACAACCCATGGCGCTGTGACTGTGCTCTCCACTGGCTGAGGAGCTGGATTGATGAGGAGGGCCAGAGGCTGCTCAGCTCTGCAGAACGTCGACTGGTCTGCACCGAGCCACCGCGCCTCTCTCACCTCAGCCTGGTGGAGGTCCCCCTAAACAGCTTGGTGTGTATCCCTCCACTGGTGCAGCTGGAGCCCAGGAGGCTAGCTGTGCGCCTGGGAGAGAGCCTCAGGGTGTCCTGCCATGCCTCTGGTTACCCGCGGCCACAGGTAGGGATACTTAAGGAGAACAAGTACAACTTCCAGAAGTTTCCTCCACATTGGTTTGTTTCAGCATCCAGAGTAGTCCAGCAGCAGTTTGCTCACTTGGTTATGATGTGTGAAAGAACTCTTGTATCAGAAAGTAAAAATAAATTAAAAAATGGGATTCAGATAAGTATTATTACAGTTTGCACAGCTACAGGGCAGGACAGGCACATTGGAAATAGTGCGCGTAGATCTCAGAGTCAAGACTCTGTAGATGTATCGTGTGTTTCCATGAAAGGACGGTCAGAGCTGATGATTCTCTCTGCAGTTTTAATAACTTGTTGAAGAGGTTACCTCTCAGCCTGGTTTGCGTATCCAAACCACACGATGCTCACACTGGTGACACTGCTCTCCTCTCTTCACCTGTAGGCCTGGGTGCCACTGTGAGCCACTGCTGTGCTTTCTGCACTGTTGCCACAGTGTTTTTGGCTGAGCTCAGACCCTGAAACGTGGAACTGTCAGCCATCCCCGTGATGATGAGGGGTTGCATAGGGGGGGCTTTCCTCCTGAAGGCTATAATAAGTTCTGTTGGTTTTGTCTTTGAACAAGCTCATTGTCCTCTCCATAAATGATCTTGTTCATCCATTCCCTTTATGAAGACTCGTCCAAGGATGGTGATGTCATCTACATATTTAATAATAGTACAGTATACAGAGCCCGGAACAAGACTGTACACTGGTGACACAGGGCTCTTATTTATAAAACAGTAGGATCCACACTAAATGTTTGCCTGCATTCAAAGGAGGAAATGCACGTATGCCAGAAAATATTCAGATTTATAAAACCTTGCACCTGCCAGTGCGCATCTCCTTTTATAAATTCCAAATCAACCTGTAAATATGCGCATTTTGTTCAGCCTTACGTCCCGCCCTTTGCATTTAACCACAAATGGTCAATAAAAAGCACCTTATGAATGTTGATGCATAAACATGAGCTGCTGATCAGTGGGTCTTTACGGGGAATCAACGGCTACTACTCATTTACTCCCACTTCTTTCAACAGTGCTGGTAGAACATAACACATCACGAGTCTCACGGCAGTATTTATATGTTTTTCAGCAATCAGAATGACTTTTTGAATCAGTGGTTCTACCACCCTGGATATAACACTTCTCTAACAAGGACCACACCATCAAGTAGAAGCATTTAACAGATTTATTGAAGGTAAACGTGATTGAGATGCGAGGCTTAAACTTTGTGTAGCTCGTCCGGTTAGCCAAATGAGCTGTGGGGGAGCTTCCATAGGGAATCAGCCGTAGCAGCCGGGCTCGGCAAACCACCCAAAACCCCATGTTACTTGAGACTAGATCGACCTGAGTTGAGATGTTTACGATGTGGGCAAATATAGTGGAGGAAGCAATTTGTCCAAGCTCTACGGAGGAAGGGGTCAGCATTAATTGAAGTGTGAGGTGGAGAACTCGGAACATCTGAGGCTGGCGATAAAGGCGGGCAAGAATGTAGCTTTTAAGGTTCAAGCAATGTGAGGATTACTGCATCAAATAGCAGCTAGGATTCTTTAAGCATGGCTCTTTGTGCACAGGACTTGTGAGAGTGATGTTATGGAATAGCTTAGAATGTAAGCTGGAGGCCAGGCTCGGGTTACCGTGTAAGAGTTTGAAAAGTGAGAAGGATTGCATGTGACCAGGTAGAATCAGTGACTCATATCCTTGATTAATGTTTATCCATTCAATTTGTCGTTTGATGGCTATATGTTCAGAAGATGAAGCTGTTCAGCTGATGAGTTTGAGAAGCAGCAGGGAAGATTGTGCGAGTTCATACGAGTTGAAATGTAAGATAGATCCTTTAGGATTACAGCTGTATCTGTTCATTCATCTCTCTATCCGAGGTTAACTTATTAACTCAAATTACTTTATCAACTGACTTCAAGTTGATTTGGCCTAGAAACATCAAACTCATTCACATCTGGAATTGTATATTGTTTTCACCTGAGGCTTCTGATGGGCAGATGGGACGTTAAGCTGGATGAAGTGGTGGCTGCTGCTCTTCTGGAATCTCTGCATCTTGGATCTTGATGGATGATAGTAGTTCAATTGGATCGCATTTTTTCATCTCTTGCTCTGGGGCAGTTGGTTCGGCTTTCTCTGGTATCTCTGGACATAATTGTCTTCATCGTGTAGGTTCAAATTAAACTGTGTTTCTTCGTCTCTCTCTCTCTCTCAGTGGGATGCTAAATCATTTTATCATCCCCCTTTGCATGGCATGTTTGCCAGTCTCAAAATGTATTTTCTTTTCAATTCCCTTTCTTTAAATAGTTGCTGCAACACATCTTCAGCATGTTGGTGCATGGCATGTTGGAGCTGCAGGGCACACAGACGGCCCAGGATGGCCGTAGTCGACGGGTCAGGAACACGAGGCCTGAAAAGAGGCAGAACCAGCAGAGCCACAAGGGAGAGATCTGGCATGCAGAATTCAAAGTTATTAATCATGGTTGTAGCATATTAGAAACCAGGCTCTTGCATCTCAGGTCGGCTGGATGTCCTCTCAGCCTATGGAGATGTCTTGGCCCACAGTGGGTCTTCGAGCCTGCAGGTGGACAGAACTGCCCGCTTCCCCCACCCCTCTGTCTGGCTGGCCATCACCCTTCAGCCTCAAAGTCCAGAGTAGAAGGGCCGAGTTTCTTCTGACTCATTCGTCCTGCTGTTATCTTCTTGAGGAAGGAGTGCGGTGTTTAGTTGGCACGAACAATAAATCACTCCCATCCAACAACTATCTTATTTCTTTAAATGAACCTTCTTTTACAGAATTATTACTAGTTCACTGACACAGTATTTCATATTTAATTCTTCCATATTTGAAAGCTGGGCTATCTCAGCTGCAGAACGGTACCAAGCAGTTTAATATACCTCCCTGAATAAAGATAGAGAGGGGAGAACAACAGACAGGTTGAGAGAGGAGCTGCAGGCAGAAACATCAACATCCAATTTAAATGGCAGAAAACCGAAAGAATTGTAAACAGAGTTGGTTATCATGAACAAAACGTGAACCATTATTTATAAACTCAGATGTTTTCACTGTTTAAGATTTGGTTCAATTCAGGCTTTCAGATGAATGTATAGAGACACACTATGTTTAGTGAATCAGTGAGATTTAACGTGTGTCTTTTGTATGACTACAGTAGAAAGATTAGAACCAATGCTAACATATCAATTAAGGAATGTATCATTTTGCATCAAAACTCAGTTTCTGGAAGTTGTTTATTTAATTGGATGTGTCCATGTGTCCTGCTGCTCCTCAGGAATGTAGATGCTTGTAAAAAAAGAAAGGTGGTGTCCCACAAGATTTATGATCTTATAGTTCATAAGTCGGTTCGACTGTCAAGATTGACCTCAAGTTGTTGTGTGTGAGTCTATTCAGGTAAGTGGTAGATTGAGAGCCCTGAGATCAGTTTCTGGAAGAAGTTTATTACTTGAGATTTTTTTTCATCGTTGTTATTATCAAATTTCCATTTTTATCATTTTTGCGTCAATGTTCACTACATCCACTACATTGAGTTGGAAGGCCTTCCAGGACATTCAAAGTATCCGACTATGTCATGGCCCTCAGATCTCAGTGTTTGAGGTCATCATCTTTGTCTTTCAGAAATGCTATCTCCCGCTCCAGCTTTTGCTTAACTTAACATTAAGTCTCTCAAGTCATACACATCAGCAGAACCTGCTTGGCTAAAGTTGTGACAGTGAAGTTTGGATGTCAGCTGTCTTCTGTCTATGTGAAAGGTTCATTCGTCATTAGAATCCTGAACAGCTTTCATGAGAGATTTCAGCGTTGGCTTTTCTTGGTCAGCCGCCATCTTTTCTAGAGAGAGGTCTCACTTGATGAATGTCGTTACATGAAGTTTCTCACCCTTGAAACTTCCTTGAAGGGAATAACAAAAAACCTATAGTAAAGAAAAAACGTTTGTCATTTTAAGTCAATTCCAGCAAATATGTGACTCCTGTTGAGGCACACCAAGAGCTCAGAGATACGGATCCAACCTCAGTGGCTGTGTCACATGATTCCCCTGCTTAACTTAGCTTGAGAGCACATTATTTGATTATTTATGTGATGATAACCTTCTTAGCAAAAAAACTGTTCATGAAACACTGACTGATTTTCCAGGTGACCTGGAGGAAGGCGTCCCAGGGTAAAGTGGTGCTTTCCCCCAGAGGCCTGGTTCAGGAGCTGGGTGCAGGAGGAGGTGGAATGAGTGGAGGAGAGGAACCCTCAGAGGAAGGCAGAGTCAGTCTGCAGAAGACTGAAGGCGAGCGCTTTGACCCTGACACTGGCAGTGGCATGCTGTTTCTGAGTAATGTGACTGTGGCTCATGCAGGTTTCTATGAATGTGAAGCCTGGAACGCAGGGGGTGTGGCCAGGGTGACTTTTCAGCTCGCCATCAACTCATCCACTTCCTCTTCCTCCTCTTCTTCCTCCATCTGGGCCTCGTGGTCCCAGGTGTCCTCGCCATACTCACCCTCCTGGCCCAGGCTGAGGAGCCACGGTGCTGCTATGGGCTCAGATGTTAGCCGGGAGCCCCTGTACGCACTAGGCAGCATGGCCTTCAGCGCTCTGGGAGCTGCCACTCAAACTGCTATAGCTGTAGGCATCTCCCTGCTGGCTCTGACCGCTCTGCTGCTGGTCGCCATGATCTACAGCCGACATCGCCAAAGAGAGAAGGACACTGATGGAGCTGAGAAGGTGTGTGTATGTTTGTCTGTAATAGATTCAATGGTAAATTATTTGAATTAGCAACAAAAATGTTTTTAAATGTCTAACCTGATGAGTGAGAGGGACTTCTTGAGGTAGATATGTTATTAGAACAACACACACTTTTATATAGAAACAATCGTTTTCTGACACAGATTTCATCACACAGGTGAAAGCAGGTTTGCATAGCCTTCTAAGTTAAAACTCTAAACCTTCCCTTTGGAACTGATGTATTAATTATTATCTGACAAGAAACTGCGGTTAAGAAGAAGAAGAAGTAATATGGGCACTTAAGCAACATCGAATGGCAGCCAGTACAAACTACAACATTAATAGTGTGTGGCTGAATTCAAATGTCCACCCTGCGGACTTGCAGACTCGTAAGTAAGTTGAACTTTGTTAAACACTTTTCAAAACCAGGGTTAGTACTTCAATTACAAAGTTTAGGGGGCGGGGATCAACCATACCGATGAAACATGAATTGTCTTCTGAGTGCAAGGATGCCTCCCAAAAGACTGCAACAAACATTTTTTGGCTGTTTAGGCTTTTTCGAACGTCTCTGCATGCTACCTACCAAATTTCATCAACGTACATGAAGTTTAAAGGGCTGGGCTTTTTCTACGCTGTTCATTGCAAACTCACTATCTTCACGATAAAGCATCATCAAGGTCTTACGGCTCCTCTAAACACATGTGAGGTGGATCTGGTCGACCCTCTCGGAGGAGTAAATCAAAGAATAAAACATGTAATTTCCTTTTACTAGGCGCGATGACTAAAAGTCAATATTTGCATGTAAATGTCCTCCAGCCTCGACCCTTCACATGGATGAGAAATTTGGGGCAGATTGGACAAGTTACAACTTCCTGTTTCATGGCAAAATGCGCTTTTTTGCCACCCCGGAAACATAGTTCCATAAAAACTGAAAAGCTTCACAATTGAGCATTGCATAGGTCTTAATATTGTAATAACCAAATTTAAAGTCAATCCGGGGAAATCTCGAGGAGGAGTTCGTCAAAGTACACTTCCTGGAAATTGCAAAAATTGCCCTAAAATAGCACATTGAATTAAATATGGCTGACTTCCTGTTGGGTTTATTGTAGACCTCCAAGACACTTTTTTTACACGTCTCCACATGTTAAATCTGCCTACCAAACATGTAGGTGAAACATAAATGTTGCTTCATTAAAATGTTGTAGGGGAAGCAATTGAGCATTATGCTACACCCGAGTCATAAAATATGTCACCACGAATTGCGATTCATTTGGAGGAAGAATATAATTCGATCAAATTTGATAGGGCCTCGTCGACCCCTGGTTAGTGCTCAGGCCCTAATAATTATTTTCCTTGTTTCGAAAGGGCCTTCGTTGGCCTGAACAATCCTTAGAAATATAATAACGTCATTATTAGGATAATTCCTACAGTTTCAATAGGGCCTCTGGTCGGGGCTTGGGCCCTCGTAATTCTTTCCAGTGCAGCTTGTTTTAAGTAGAGCTTTTATCCAATCAGATTTCACCTCTGTGTCTCTAGGTAAGAACAGAGGCAGAGGCCTGCACACTCTCACCTGCAGCCAGTGCAGATTAAAGTAAATGGGGACGATATTGTTGATTGTCATAGTGTTCAACCAATCAGATCTTTAGTTTGACATGTTGGGCGTATTCTTTGACTACCATAGCCTGCGCGTCGGCCTATAATGACGTCAGCATTACATGCCGCTCAGTGTCCTTGTGTAGTTTTCCCGCGAGGTACAGAGTGTGCTGTGATTGGTCAGTGGGCGAGCACGTGACGAAACGAAACTTAACAGCCAGCAGAGGCTGATGGGTAGTGAATCACATCACGTGATGCAGCTCAGCCAATCAAATATGGGCATTCTGACTGAGTAAGATGCACCATGAGACAGGGGGCTGAGACGAGGAAAGACATTGCAGAGCAGTACATTCAATGTTCCCATTGTGAAAGTAAGATCCTATGATAATCTCTTTGGGTTGTGGCTTGTCATTAAGGAATGACGGTGGATCCCACAGCCAGACCAGCTGACAACATTATATTTTCCTGAATTTAGGCTTTTGCATTTTCTAAATGCTCTAGCATTATTCAGACGACTCGTACCGAACAGTTTAATACGAAGATGTACATAGTTACAGCCTTAAAAATGAATAATAGCTGTGGCGCGATCATGTGGTTATAAGGTGGCATTTCAGCTGCAGGACAGCAGTGAAGGCCCAGGTATAAAATGCACGGCCCGCCACTGGCTTTATCCCTTAAAAAAACTGTTCCCAGACCCTGAGGAGGGGGCTAGTTTATGAGGAATTGAGAGTCAACTTGTTTACTTGTCAAATGTTCAAAAGTTCCTCTCTGGTAGATTGAATTGGAGAGGGTGAGCTGAAGACTGAACAAATAAACAGAAACACTCCATGAAGAGGCTGCCATCTTGCTGCACTGACTAGACTGAACATGTGTGCCATTGTTTTCCATTATTGCTGTAACTCAAAAGTGATGAAGGTAAATTGTAACCTGCAGGAGGAGAGCATCCTGTACGTGAATGACTACTCTGATGGCCCCACCACCTTTGCCCAGCTGGAGGAGTATCGTGATGAGCGCGGCCATGAGATGTACGTCTTGAACAGGGCCAAGCCTGTGCTGCCTCCAGCTCCACCCACAGCTGTTTCCACCACTAACCTGGGCTGCCCTGTTCCATCTGACACCTCCAGCCACACCCTCTCCTCTGGGCCTTGCCAGACCATGAGTCCCACCCTGGCCCCCAACAAAAAGCTGCAACAGCAGCAGGATGGCGACATACGGACCATGAGGAGGATGGCGGGGGAGGGAGGGGAAGCCAAGCCTGTAATCACGTCAGAGGCAGAAGGGATGTTTCTTAATCATACAGGCCTGTTCATGGACTCCCAGATAGCCTATGAGATCCACTGCTGAAGGGGGGAGATAATCCACTCCTTACAGAGGCTCTCTGTGTGAAACATTGGTTTACAGCAAAGCCTGTCACGTTTTAAAGTCAAGCTCACTGCTGGAATCTACCAGTAACTGGCATCAGTACCCATCCGTGTGGAAGGATTCAAGTCCAAAGTGATGGGCTCATACTGGAGGAGGTTCACATAGCTGGCTCACAGTTGGGCTTGTTAAAACAATAGCACCAAGGGAATTCTGAATGGACAAACTATGTGAACTTGCCAAAACAACAGCAGTGAGTAGGCTGGTGTGTAACCATTCAAATGCCTGACACTTAAAGACACATTTAACTCAGGTATGTACTGAGCGGCACACAACTGAACTATCCTGTACATGAATCAATCATCAATGATGTGCAAAGGTTCACATAGAACTCTGGAGACTCAAATTTGGGTGAGTATATCAACTGGGGAAGTCATGGAATCTTCCATTTCATGACCATGCAGGAGCAGTCGTGTATTTTATAACTGTTGTAAATGTCTGGACATGTTTTCATTTAATCAGACTTTGTAGGTTGTTGAGCATTTAAAGGCATTATAGTGTCCGTGTGACAACAACAGCTGCATTTTGTAACTATTTATCTTAACGTTTGGAAACATATTTATTCATCAGAGAGGATCTTAAATCTGAGTCTTAATCTCCCATCATTAAAGAAGAATGTTAACACAGTGGTGCTGCTGCAGTGGAAAGTATTCAGCAAGGTAAACAAGTTAGGATATAATCACTCAACTGAAGCAGAACAAACAGAAAGAAAGAAATGTCATTTAAAGAAGAATACAAGGCGGTTGGTAGGATGATTATATAGTACGGTGGTTCTGAGGGACAAACACACTGCAAATAGACACAAACATGAAGTAGCTGCCGTCTGTTCTTTCATCATCATTCATTGTGTAACAGATGGCACGTGATGCACTTCTGTGCATCCTGAGAGCTGCTGCTCTTCCTGAGTTTGATTCCTTTGTGTCCTGTGTTAAAGGTTTTATCCGATGTTAGTGTCCAAGATGTTGTATGTTGTACAGATTGAAAAGCCCATGAGCTATATAAATAAAATGTAATTGAATTTTACTAAGGTATACAATTGTAAGTATTATTCATGCCATCATAACCTAACACAACTGCAATGCTAATTATTTGTGCCTTGAACGTTTCTTGGGGACAGTTCTGAAAGTTACAGCAGCTAATATAATAATATAATATGAGCCATCAGATCATTCATAGGCAAGTAAGAAGCAAAAGGCTCGGTTAACATGTCTGCAATAATATCTGAAAACTTGCGATCACATCACATGATAAAATCTGCCAAACAAAAAGTAAACACTTTCTAGCTCATTTTCCACTAAATGACATGAATCTCTGGCATCACCTGCTACTGCAGCACGTTTATCTTTGTGGTTGTGTATTTGATTGTGTTTTCTCTATTTGCAGCATCTTTCTGTATTTGCTGTGTTTTCTGTCCCTGAAGCACACTTTGTCTATCTGTAGTTCTTTAATGCTGCACTTGGTGCTCGGTGGTGCAGTTGCTGAAGATGTTTTCATATTTGCAGTGTGTTGATCTCTCAGGGCTATCGTAATATAGGAATTATTATATCATACTGAACACGATCAGTATTCTAGTGTGTGAGGATAAATAAACTACTATTACTGAGAAATTCACTTCAAAACAGACTGAAATCTATTTGAATAAAACTTGAAGAATAGAAGAAAGATAAATACCTGATAAAGTCTGAACTGTTGTAAGTTCAATATATATATTTATATATATTATATTATGCATTGTTTGCATAATGATCCTTGCAACCCGTTTGGTTGTTTCAACACTTCCTGGTGCACAAGTCAGACGTTTGGACCATTCGGCTATCGAAGCTATTTCCAGGAGATTTCCTTCCACTGTGTTCCAGGTTCCCACACTGTGCACGAAGCAAGGTGTACCCTCATGTGATTGGTTGAAAATAGCGGATTGGCCGTTTACAAAAAATGCATTTGTGAATCAAGCGTCAGTGGAGTCTTCAAGAGAAGTCCCCACAAGACAAGCAGTACATGCAGGTTCAACGGTTTTTATATCAATGTAACATCCAAAAATGATTTTAGTGACATTTCCAAATCCTTTTAAATACATATGTGTGGATTTATTTTGCATTTATTTAAAACAATACATTTTTGTGTGTGCATTAGACATATTTGTGACTTTTATATTTATATATGTGATTTTATTTGTATTTACTCTATGTGTAATGATAGTTTCTTTGTGTGCATTTAAACGTTGTTTGGGGAGATAGCCCACACCGATGAAATATGAACTCTCTCCCACAAGAAGCTGCAACAAACGTTTGATGAACGGGTGAATGGTGAGATCGTGCTGATGAACCTTATCCTTGCATGTGGATAAATGTGTTGAAGCGCTTTGAGTGGTCGGAAGACTAGAAAAGGTGCAAACAGTAAATAGTTTGATATAAATCTCTGAATAAAAGCTGATCAAGTAAATACAGAATGAATTAAACAATTACACCGATGTTATCATGACACAAACAGACCTCTGTAGATATACATGTGTACATATATATATATATACATAATAAATGGATAGGATCAAACTCATTCCGGTACACATCGGTTTCTGGGTGAGAAACACTAAAGGACGGGTGGGAGCGTCCCTCTGTCCTCTGGGGACAGACTGGCTGCTGTGCTGGGAGAACATCGCAGGCACAACACTCAACATCCAGTTCATAAGAAAGGACACCAACAGAACTGTAGATGCAGTTGAACATTAACTGTACATATTTTATAAACTTAGATATTTCAAATGTGTTTCTCCTGTGACAACTTGTCGACGCTCGTGTCTCTCCTTTGACTTTCGTGTGTTTGACAGTGAGCCCCAAACATCCTTTATCTCGGCTTTAACCACGGCACAGACTGTCAGCAGCTAACTTACATCGTGTGAATATATGTTGTTTGTGCTGTCGGCTACGATACGTGTTAAGTTCAAAGTTAAGCTAAGCTGTGCCCTGTAAATTAGCTTTTATTAATGCTAACTAACTTAGCTAAAGGTTGCTGGCTCGCATTTGTTTGCGGAGAATAACCGACTATAACTTAGATTTGTTAGTGTTACTTGGTGTGTGTGTGTGTGTGTGTGTGTGTGTGTGTGTGTGTGTGTGCATTAACGGTCACACCTGCAAATGGATGCATGTGGCATAGCAGTTAACATGACAAAAATATAACTGTGTCCAGTTGATGATAGTTAATAAGGTTAATAATAATAATAATCATAACTTTATATAGCAGCTTTCCAAAACAAAGTTACAAAGTGCTTCACAATAAACATGAAAGCAAATAAGAAACACAATCAAACTAAATTAAAATAATCCATCAGATGTAAAAGAATAAGCCTGTCGGTAGAAGTGAGCCTTCTGAAGAGATCTAAAAGAGGATGCTGCCTCAGATTCTCAGGAGGGGAGTTCCACAGCTTAGGGGCCCGAACAGCTAAGGCCCGGTCCCCTTTAGTGACCAGTCGTGAATTAGGAACAGTTGGTAAGGCCCTGCCTGAAGATCTCAGGCAGTGGTCAGGCTCGTAAGCAGGGGGGGGCAATTCTTTCTCCCAAGGGGCCACATGAGAAACAGGGACTGTTGTGGAGGGCCGGACCAATAGACTGAACTCAATCCTGCTCAATATTATTCCACCTCTTTATAAAAAGCAGCTGTGAGTAGTAAGAGTGAATATTATGATCAGTGGTGGAATGTAACTAAGACATCTCAGAGGGAAGTATTGTACTTTTTACTCCACTACATGTGTCTGGTGTAGCAGCGGTGTACTCTCTCTTTGCATTGTGTTTTAATTCAGGCACACAAACCAGCCGTGTATTCACAGGACAGCATACGGTAGCACACCTGGTAAGAAGCAGAATGACGTCAGGGTTTCTCACAGCCCACCTCGTGGTCACGAGCAGCGGAACACATGCTTACGCTAGCTGTTGTTAGCATGTTACTAATGCTAAATAAAGTTAGCAGAATAAAGCATTTGCTCTGGAAATTATAGATCGAAACACAATTCTACGAACAAAAAGGAACTTATACAGATATCACGACGGAGCTCGTCACAGATCAACCTACCAGGAGACAGCGTGCTGCAGACTGGGCACGGACAGCAGGCCGCTCATGAGACACAACACACTGTCTCCGTGGGAAACTAATGATAATAAGTTGTAAATGATATTGACAGAAATAGAGGAGGAAATAAAATGAAAATGATATGGCTTAGTAATAACTTAAATGATACAGTAATATTAGTAAATAATGGCCAGTGATGGTAAGTGGAATCAATAACTCTGTTGCATGGCAGCTTTAGTATAATTTGTCAAACCCTTCCTAACTACCCAAACTGAACAACAGAGTACAAAGGAGTTAAAACGAGCTCCACCTAAAACATCTGCAGCAGGAATAATGATCCAAACAAATATACATAGTAATATCCATATATAATAGTAGAACACTGACGGGGATCATGTTTCTGCTACAGGAGTACTTTAATCACTATTCTTTGTAGTCCAATGACCTCATTTTCTGTTTGTCAGTTCAGTGCAGAACTCCAGTCTTTGTTGGGCTCCAACGAGTGACTGAAGTCAGGCTGTGTGTGAGCTGAGATGTGAAGGACAGCTGACAGCTGATGTCAGTGAGAGAGGATCTGGATCTGGATTTGTTCAACTTCATCACAGAGAATGTTTGTTCACAGATGGAGGTCGATCCAAAGAGAAGCAACATCTTCTGCGCATGTTGCTTTAGCAGCTTAGCTACAAAGTCTCAGATGTCCGTGCCGCTCTGCATCACCAACACGTTGCAGTGACGCTGCTGCTCGCACACATTCACGAGCGTATGTACGTACGAACGCACGTACATTGAGTCAAAAAACAAAACAAACAGCAACAGTCGCCTTCAAAATAAAAGCAATGCAGCTGTATTCCGTGCATGATGTACAATTATGTACGTTGCATTCCTAATGTCCCATTGACGTCCCGCGACAGCCAAAGGTCCGGGTAAGGACCGCGGGCCGTACAATGCCCAGGTCTGCTAATAAGAAATCAGCAGATCACAGATATCGGACCAGGTCGTTCAAGGTTTTAAAATTGAGCAGTAAAATCTTAACATCAATTCTAAAACTCTCAGGAAACCAGTGAAGGGCAGCAAGGATTGGTGTGATGTGGTCACTTCGTAGAAGCCTGGCAGCAGCATTCTCTATCAATTTTAGTCTTTCAATGTTTCGCCTGCTGATACCAGAATAAAGTGCATTGCAGTAGTTGAGGAGATAAAAGCATGAATGACTCTCTGGGTCTGCAGGTGAAAGGAGAGACCTGGTTTTGCTGAGCTGTCTCAATTGAGCAAAGCAGATCTGCACAACTTTGCCCACCTGAGCATCAGAAGTCAATTCAGAGTCAAAAATAACACCTAGTTACGGGCTTCATGCCGACCATTATTAGATAAGGCGCCCAGACTTGAGGAGAGATCATTAATGCTGATGATGATGTCTCCTCAAGTCTGGGCGCATTAATGCGGGTGCTGGGGCCAGCAGGGGTAATTATAACTACTTTGCATTTGGACTCATTTAGTTCCAGAAAATCGGCATGATACACGAAACAGTGCTGGAGCCAGGCTTAATCGGGATGTACAACTGGGTATCATCTGCGTAGCTGGAGGAGAGAGCCTGGTGTTATTGGTTGGTTGGTTGTTTGGTTGGAGCAGAGGGCTCTGTGTTACTGAAAGAGAGGGCCTGGTGTTATTGGTTGGTTGGTTGGTTGTTTGGTTGGAGCAGAGGGCCCTGTGTTACTGAAAGAGAGAGCCTGGTGTTATTGGTTGGTTGGTTGTTTGGTTGGAGCAGAGGGCCCTGTGTTACTGAAAGAGAGGGCCTGGTGTTATTGGTTGGCTGGAGAACAAAGACTGGTGTTAGATGACCACTGTATTCAATATTCCACCTCTGTTATCCTTGGAGTCAATCTCTAAATAAACGCTTGACATAATTATTTTTGCATTGTATTTAATAACTTTTCCTAATTTATTGGGGACAACCGACTAAATATAAAATGACCAAAATGACATATTTTCAATGTCCTGTACGCATTTTGTATGCATCGGTTTTCCTTGAGGTCCATTTGACTCCAGGCTCTTTTAGCTGTTTATAACATAGAAGAAATATGAACATTTGACAGACATTTGTTTAGGTTGTTTTGGGAACCCCCGACAGTTCATTTGACATGGGGGAGAGAAAAGTTGTTTTCCACACTGCGAGGGAGGGGGAATATGATCCTGTGAGGTCATCACAAGGTCACACAACTTATGGGAGGGGCAGACATATAAAAGCTTTCACTTTGTGCTGACCCTTTAAACTATCACTCAGTTGAAAATGACCTCTCAGAAAAGGTTTTCTGGCAGTGAAGTTTTGCCACATCCCTTTGAAATGAAATAAAGATAATGTTGAGGAGGGCCCTGATCAGGAGGCATCCTCCTCTGATAAAAGTGAGACCCTTGGAGTTGAACCTCTTGTTGTCTCTAACCCACCAGCAGACATGTTAGCTTCCAAAATTGGAAAATGATTATGGTCCCTCTCCAAGCTTGAACGACGGGGTAGACTTAGTGCTGCTAATTGTGACAAAAATGGTTCCAGGTCCTACCAACAAACTCAGCAATATGGGATGCATGGGACAAATGGGTACAATGATCCAGGCTCTTACTGGACTGTGGATGAATATCTGGTTGCATTTTATGGCCGCTGACCCCCTCAGACAATATATACCAAGCAACTGTACACTGGGAATCCCCCTCAAGCATCAGGGCATGGTCATCTTGACATGGCCAAAGAGATGACAGCTTCAAGGCAAGGATTTCTCATTTTGTTAAATGTCGCCTCCCCTCTCCTCGCTTCCTTCTCTCAAGTGGGCGGGACTAAGAGGTGAGTAAAATAATCAAGATTGTACAAACAGAGAAATGAGAAAGGCCCCTTGACTTCAGTTGTGACATGGCATTTAATAAAAAGTGTTTACACAGTTGTCATTACATCCGTTTTTCTTACACCTATCTAATATTTTCATACAGTGGTAAAAAACAAAAGCGCTGATCCTGACATATTTAAGATGGCGGCACACTGAGCTCAAAGCAGCTACATGAGTAAAGCCTGCGTGAGAGAACTCTGCATCATACCATGATGGAAGTCAAAGATGACACCCAGCAGGGCTTCTCTTGAGCAGATTGAATCATTTATTGTGTGCTCGTTGCTGTTGACTGATAGAAATCGGTCGTTTACAGACTATAGTCCGTCAACAGTCAGCGTCAGTCATCTTGTTGCTCTGCAATTGCTTGGTACTGTGATGGCCGTCTGTAGAGACAGTAGTGCTGAATCATGAAGAGGATGTCAAACACCACAGAGAACAGACCCAGGCCAAACTTTGTAGGATCGCCGAATATCAGCCTCCACTCGTCTAATGAGAGACACATCACAGTTAGTACAAACGACATGCTGTCAGTCACATATACACTTTACTATTTGTTGTGACAAATGTCATGTTATCAACAGGATCGAGCATAACATAGTTACCATTGTTGTAAGACTGCAAGATCATCTGTAGAATACTGAGGAGGCCACCTGTGAAGTCCAGCAACACGTTGCCTATACTCCACCCTTCAGTGCTCTGTTTCCTGTAGTTCATGTACGCCTGGAAGAAACAGACAGAACAACACCAACACTGTAACAATCTGTGAGTGATTATTCATCCAATCAACAAATCAACTTAACACTGAACCACATTCTGTGGAATAACACTGTTTTTACAGTCTCAGCTATAAACTTAACATTTTCACAAGAGTCATTCTATCTGCATGGCTACTGCATTACTCTGTCCAGGTGTTTCCATTCAGTGTGTGTGTGTGTGTGTGTGTATAACTTACCTGCGGCACATATTTGACCAGAGTGACTGCTAGCTTAATGTAGGAGAAATAGTAGAGGTAATCCAACCAGGTGATCTGTTTGGCTACAGCCAGAAACAAGCTGATCAAGGCAAAAGTCCAGCCAATCATCAACAAGAACATGGCCGTACAGGAGATCTTTTGACCCCCCCTCTGGAAGAGAGAGGACACAGAGGATTAACCTGTGGGACCCGTCCATGACGGAATCAAATACTTAAAGCTACTGTGAGGAGCTTTCATCTTGTGTTGATGTCGGTGGCCCTGTGGACAGCAGTGCTAGTGTCTCAGAGCACCAGCGTCCCTAAAGAAACCTCTGGGGTTAGATGGCAGGCATCTCACTGATGTTTGCTGTTTCCATTCACTTATTCATTCAGAGCACCTCTGCTCATATATTTTTGGGGAATTTAGAAACATTAGAAAAAAGCCCACAACAACATAGCTATGTTTATACCCAGCAGTATATTCAGGGGAATAATTAACGTGAATAATTAAAGTGGTTACCATTGGAGCAGACTAATGTCAGCTTACTTTAGACAATAGTAAAGTTTGCTCATTTAATAACTAGCTCGAGCTAACGTCTGTTATTCCAACATTAAATTCATATTGGAAAGTTGGACTATTCAGGTATCATTTTCAGAAATACAGTTTCTCTTTTAAATGTCACAGTTTCTGTGAGACCAAACTGGTCAGAACCTGCTCTGAGCTTCATGATCATACAACGTTTGTGCATCCTGTCACAGATACAGATACACACCTCAAACACAGCAGCCTGGCTGATGTAGACCAAACAGAGCAGCAGAGCATGGAGACTGAAGAAGACATCGTTAGCGCTGACGGGGTTAATTCCATTTGGGTTCGTCTTCAGAAACTCCTCCTGCAGGAACACATTACACTGTAAATGCTTCATTCAAGATGTGAACATCACAAACACTGTGAACTGACCTGGGATTCAAACCTTCAACCGTGAAGTAAAACAACACTTATCAGATATAATTATGCATGATTAGGAAATCATGAACGTGTCAAGGCATGGGACAATATGAAAAGTTCATGTCACCATAATCCTGGCCAAAATAATTATGATACACAATGATATTATCCCAATGATCATCCAGACATGCTTACAAATTACTGGAGTTACTTCACCTTACGTTTAGTTAAGAAACGTCTTTTTGATTGCATCACAGATAGGACCGGCTTATTGTAGTGAAGAACTAACCATCTCAAATAAGGTAATCATAAGTCATAAGGTCCACTGCATGAATAAAGGATCAATACAAATAAAACTAATATTGCGTGAGTCTGTTTTCTTTCTTCTATGTTTCTTGTATTCTTGTATTTTGTAAATTCCCAATCAATGGAGTGTTTTCTTTTAATCGCGAGCTGTAGTAAAATCCTACATCATCCTATCCATACATGTGACTTTATTATTTACCATAATGATCAAGTCAGACAACAAGAGCAGGTGCCAAATGTTAAAATGTATTCATAATTTCACTTAAGTCATTCCCTGTTTAGTGTCCTGCTGCTGTGCTGAACACTTCCTCTAAACGTTTCACAGTAAAACTCCTCTTGTGGTTTCAGGGGCACAACCACTTCACTACCCTGAAACCTGAATAATCTAAAGTTCATTCATTCATGATCCTTTCCTGTGGACTGTAATGTCAGGCTCATAGAAGTCCAGCTGTCGTTCTGGCTGCATACTGTTGTAAAGGTGTCACTTCTCCAGAGCCTGCAGTACGGAACATGACTGGTAGACTTTGTGTGTATGAACAGTGCAGTGCCTCTTACAAAGCATCAAGTTACCGTTATATAAGGCACCCAGAACAGTCCTATATTGAAGACACTGTAGGCGATGAAGCCAGTCAGGTTGAGAGCCAGGAAGTCAAAGTTGAGACCTACAACACTGAAACCACACATGTTGCTTTCATTTGTCAGTTGTTTGGACTCGTTGCATGTTATACCATCTCACTGCCCCAATCACTGTCAGCTACAAGAGCAAACACTTTAAATAAATCATTCTGGTATGTTTGTAATGATGACGTTTACAGGAAATAACGATGTAATAATGCTTAGTTTAACCTAAGCAGACATAATGCAGACATACAGCCGGGTATCTATCGGGGAGTGTAGGATTAAAAGATGCAATGTGTAAAAGGTGCACCTCTAATACTAATACTTGTCAAAAAAGCCAATAACTAACTAATCACAGGGCAAGCATATAAAAATTCACCCAAACACAGAGGCTGTTTGAATATGGACCCCTGGTCAGCGGCCACAACAACTACAGTTGTGAAGGCAGAGATGAATGAAGTGAGTCTACCTCTTCCTCCTGAAGTTTTCCCAGGCTTGTGGATAGAAGGACACCGACCAGGCCAGGAAGTAAAGCCAGCCAATCAGCTGGCTGATCACCGACAGGACGCTGCTATGAACGACCATGAAGTGGATCCTGAAGTTCAAACTAGAGGAGAGAACGTCAGGCTTACTCACACAAAGACACATGATGGTGGTGAAGTATCATCATACTCTACAGCAGGTTCAGCACACAGTATACCAACTGCACCGCTGATACACCATGACTCACCCAGGTGTTCTGGCAGACCCGGAATCCTATTTTGAGCTAGCCTTTAGCTCATTTTACATCATTCCTATTGTCATGCTGAACTGATTGAACAGCGGACCGATTGTAGAGCTTTTGATTCTCAGCCTGAACCCGACTGAGCCCGACCCAACCCTCCGAGTTCAGGCATTTCTCAAAACTCCCCCGGCTTGAATCGGGTCAGGTTGATGATCTTAATATGCAGACCTGTAGTCTGTGTAATGTCATGAATAATACTGGTACTGCACACGTACCATTCACAGAATCTAGTTCAATGTTTCCTGCTATAATCAATGACCTACTGTTGTACAAAATGAATACCAACATTTGACTATTGTCTCATTGATCTTTCACTGGTGTTTGAAAAATCAACTCACGACAGCATTTTCCTTGAACAAACTCGCCTCTCAAAATGAGGAGAAATGTTTTGCAATGTCTATTTAATATCATGACATGCTGAACATTCGGCATGAGATGACGCACATCTGTTACCACTCTGAAAAGATACACACATACACACATACATATATATATATATATATATATATATAGCATATATAAAACTGTCTCCATGGTTCAGGTCGGGTTGGACTGACACGATGCGAGGTGCTGTAGGGTCCGGCTTGATTTACAGCCCAAACACAGACCTTTGTAAGAATTGATGAAAGAAAGGGAAAGGCCATTAATGTCACTGCATGCTGCTTCTGTGCAGACACCCACCTGTTGAGCTCTGTGTTGTTGCTCATCAGGTATGTGGTCACCTGACCGACATCATGGGCCGTCACATTGAAACTGACGGAGGTTGCCTCCACTGGCAGCAACACCTAAACAAAACAACAACAACAAGAGCTTTGAGTCAACAGCTGTTTGGTAGATGGTACAATCCTGTGTGTGAGCTAGCTTAAGTAATGAGCACGTAAACACAAGTACATCTGATCCTCATCTGCTGATGTTTGCTTGTGCATTTCATGGCATTCATACGCTCGGTATATGAACGTGTACAACATGATATTTCAGCCTGATGGTGCAAGAGGAAAGGTAAATACAACTTTATTGATCTCCACAAATGTGGATGTTGCAGCTGCACAGGTGAGAATAAAATAAATACATATTTAGAAGTATATAAAATAAATAAATAGGGACGAACAGATTATGGACCTGGTGCAGTTACTCTGTAAAGGCTCTTGGATTGACTCTGTCTATGTTGTCGTCATCTTTAGTTGCTGCAAACTTCGGTGACGTAAGAACAACGTAAGAACAACGTACACCCAGACTGGCTGAGTGTGTTTCACTCCTGCCACATGCAGCACATGTTGTGTTTGGTGTCATGCGTTACCTGCTCAGGAACGGTGAGTATAGACGTGTAGTTCAACTTGGAGCTGAAGGTCACATTTAACTGAATCACAGCCGACTGGTTGAGAGGAGAACTAGAGGAAGACACACAAGTCCAGTCAGAACAACACTGATCACAAAGCACAGGATCAGGATCAGGATTTACTTCTTTAATTCACTTGCTGAGCATATTTGCTTCAGGTTTGTTTGCCTTTGCCATGAGCGAAAAGCAGAACATCAGCAGCTTCAGCACTGTACTACTGTGTGAAGTGGGAGTGATGAGCTGTAACACACCTAAAGCTGCCCCAGGGCAACCAGTGTGCCGCTTACTTATTCACTAACAGACCACAGCCACAGTCTGTAGTAGAACACTGGTTGAACCTGTGGTTTTAAACCTGTGGTTTTAACATCAAAATCTACAAACTAAAGCAGAAAACAGAAGCGAGTCAAAGCTTGGATTTCAATAGACTGAATTTTAGAATGCAGCCTACTATGACTGTGACTATGACTGTGACTATGACTATGACTGTGACTATGACTGTGACTGTGACTATGACTGTGACTATGGCTATGACTGTGACTGTGTGGACCTGATGAATGTGAGGTGCAGTCATGGATCATTTTCAGCTTCATACTTGTATTTTGGGTTTCTATTTACATGCTTTAATGTTTAAATAACACATTAATAAATTCAACCAAGCATTGAAATGGTGAGTTGTTCATGATTTCTTCCTTTTAAATAGAGATGCACCGATTGGAAGTTTTTCTCGGCCAATTTCCGATTTATTTAAAAGTCTGATCTGCAGATTACGATAAATGCTGATTATGATTTTCTATCTAGGAACTATAAAACCTTTTTCACCACCACCTCAGGTACACCGTCACTTTGGTTTTGTTATCTATAGTGGTTATTTGCATGAAAACACACAATTCAAATGATTGTATTTTTATTGATAAAAAAAAGAAATCCTGGAACCTAAGAACTTGCACACCGACGAGATGTTGACGATAGTGTCTGTGCAGCTGTGTCCCGACTTAAAGCTGTCATGTGGTGGCAGAACACGTAACACGCAATGTTTGGAAATATGAGACTGACCATGGCTGATCAGCTGACAACCAGGCAGTATCAATTGGCAGCCAGGTGTAGATCTACTTTAACACCATTTCATCGCTGATCAAATCCTGCAAAACCTCAAACGTCGGGTGCAAATAAATTATTAAGATGTCCTAAATCTACCCAACATATTACTGTGGGACGACTGGCTAAGTGGAGAGCAGGGCCGTCCTTCAATCGGCGGTTCGATCCCCTGCTCCGGCTCCACGCATCAATCAGAGGATCGGCGGTTCGATCCCCGGCTCCGCTACTCGCATGTCGATGTGTCCTTGAGCAAGACACTTAACCCCAAAATTGCTCCCGTAGCTGTGCCTACGGTGTATGTGATAGAATCTGAATTGTGACTCACTCTGGATAAAAGCGTCTGCTAAATGACTATAATGTAAGTGATGTAATGTACATCTTGTGCTGAAGATGCTCATGGATACAGTGAAGGACTGTAAAAAGCTTGATTCCCTTTAAAAAGGACAGACAATCAAACAGAAACTGAAGTCATTCATAACCTAATACGATGGTGTCAGCCAGTGTGAGAGAAGCTAATGCTACATATTTGCTATCTGTTTCTGTGGGTACCTGGGAGCGATGCTGATGTTGGCCTGAGAGTTTTTCTCAAGTGTGACAGCATGTGGAGCCAACAGAAACAATCTGGTCTCTGGAGGACAGACAGAAAAAAACAACAACAATCAAACAATCAATCCAAGATGCTCACAGAAACAAACAAAACATCATCATAAATTTACAATTCTACCCTTATCATAAAGTTACTACATGCTAAACATTTTCAGAACCTCATTTTTATCCAGATTTACTGGGTGAAAGAACAACAGGTTTCCTGTCTACAGCCAGTGGCCTCATTGAAGTAACAGCCATTCACCAGAGGAGCCGGTCAGCATCCACAGGAGCAGAAGCTGAGCAGGAAGCCGTCTCTTTGCCGGGGCCAGGCCGGCCATCTCTGCACAATGATGCACGCTGCCGACCTGAAGGACAGAGGCACAACGCATTATTACAGTCATTAACATATCAAAATGTTACAACATTAGGATATTCATTATTCATTATTATGAATTACTTTTTGAGATCCTTCACTGGAAATCATTAAATGTACGGTATCAACCTGCTCTCAGTCGCACATGTTTACATGATATATATATATATATATATATATATATATATATATATATATATTACATATTTACATCGCAATGTTCCGACAAAACTCTGGGGACTAAAAAGATAAAGAGAGATAGAGAATTAAATATGAAAGTAATATAATACAAAAATAAGTCATTTGTCAAATAAATAAATACATTTTATATTTTTGTGCATATTTATTTATTTTCAAATCAACCTGCACATATTTGATAGTTGAGGCTATTATTTCTACATTTCTTTCTTTATCATTTTATTTATTGAGTCATTTATTATTTATTTATTATAATGACAGCTTAATATGGAGGACAGAATATGACTTAAGTATAAATTAATAAATGCATTAATAAATGTTTGAATACAGAAATAAATGAATAAAATAATAATTAAAAGCTGAAATAAATATTGAAATAAATAGATTAATGTATAGATAAATAAATAAAAGCTGATAATCAAACAGGACATAAATAAATAAATACATATATCATATATTTATTTCTACATTTCTGTTCACCTACATTTATTCATGTATGTGTCTGTATGCTAATGAGGTGGGAGGTCCTAACCTCTGTCTAAAGCAGGATTGCTCACAGGAGTGTGATGGCTTCTGGTCTACTGCCTTGCACAGAAACGTTGGCGAGCTCCTCTTGGCGACTTTTTTTGTCAAAAGCGACGAGTGACAAATCTAGCGACTTTTCTGGTGTTTTGGAGACTCTGACGTGAAAGCACGTATTGTTCTGCAGTTACTGTCCTCAGCGAGCAGCGGGTGCTGCCGTGAGCCCCTCCACCGTCCCAAAGCACACACAGGTGGTCAGTCTCACAGCAGCAGTCCCAGCTGCAGACTGTGGAAGCCGTTAGTGCTGCTCGATAGTTTTCTGACGTCATCTACAGGGATGATTTGCTAATCGGTTGCTTCTGTCTTGCTCCCCTACTTGACCAATCCTGCTTAAGAATGAGGTTCGGCCCGCCTACCTCATTAACATACAGAAATACAGAAATAAATAAATGAAGGTGAACAGAAATGTAGAAATATATTTATTTATTTATGTCCTGTTTAGGTATCAACTTTTATTTATTCATTTCAGCATTTAAATATTTCTGTATTTATTTATTCATTTCTGTATTTATTTATTCCTGTATTTATTTATACATTTATTAATGCATTTATTTATTTACACTAAAGACATTTTTCCTCCTCCATAGCTTAAGTCCTCCATACCTTCAACCAACCTGTATTTGTATTGCACCTTTCCTACAGGTTAGTTCAGTTCAAAGTGCTTCATGGATGACTGACTGAGCTGAAAATAAGACTGCAGTCAACTCAGCAGAAACTTAAATTTGAGTGCACCTATATGCTAAAATTCACGGTAAACGCATTCAAACGGCACAGATCGGGAGCGAGCGAAGGATTTTGCAAAATTAGCGGAGAGATTAACATGAGACCGGCCAAATTGCCCCATGTTTTATTTTATTAATCAATTAAATTAATTTTATTCATATTATATATTAAATATAAAACAAGTTACCTGCATCTTGTGAGTTAAAGGGAAAATACAACTAATTGTGCGTGAAGTGTAATTATTCTTTGATTTGAGGGTAGCTGGAAAGATATTAAAGATTATGTATGTGTTCAGGACATTTCTGACCACATCCATACAAAAAATCTGACATATTAACTGTACCAATTAAGATATTTTACCAAGTAAAAACTCTAAACTGAATTTGTACCTTCAAATAGCAAATTTCTGAAATTTTTAAGGTGCTATAAAAATATTTTTCCCAATAATTCCACACAATGACTAATTGCTATAAAAAGTAAATGTCATACATTTCTACGAGAAACAGGTAATTTCTGAATATTTGAAGCGTTATAAAAAGTATTTTTCTCAATAATTCCAAACAATGACTGATGTATGTGTTCAAGACATCTCTGACTCACCCCATAGAGAAAATCTGACATTTTTACTCTACCAATTAAGAGATATTTCAAAGTAAAAGTAATACATCTGTACCGAGAAAATATCTAATAACTGAATATTTAAAGGACAAATGTCAGCAACCAGCAAGAGGTATCATTTAAACAGTGGGCAGAGTATTCAGCTAAACACTGATGTTTGCTCCCAGTCAATAAATATGTAATCAGCAGTGGCTATAAAAATATTTTTCTCAATAATTCCAGACAATGACTGATGTATGTGTTCAGGACATCGTTGACTCCATTCATAATAAAAATCAATCGTTTTTACTGTACCAATTAAGATATATTTCAAAGTAAAAGTCAAACCACCAGTACCAAGAAAATATCTAATAACCGAATATTTGAGGTGCTATAAAAAGTATTTCCTCAATAATTCCAGACAATGACTGATGTATATATGTTAAGATGTTCGTTTGGATCTGGTCAGAAATGTCCTGAACACATACATATCAGTCAGTCAGATATTATTTATTTTAATTATCTTTCCAGCAACCCTCAAATCAAAGAATGAAGACACTTCACGCACAATTTGTTGTATTTTCCCTTTAACTCACGAGATGCAGGTGTTTTTTACTTAATGTTAATATAATTAATTTAATCTTATTTCCACATTATGCAATTTATATATAGGTTTAGTTGACATCTTATTTTGGAAACCGGATGTTGTCTCACGTTAATCTTTCCCGCATATAGGCGCACTGAAATGTCATTGTCTGCTGAGTTCACCACGGAGATCCGAGTGTCTGCTGACCTGACCGCAGTAAGATAAGATCGATCCAGTGTGGACCGAGACAACGGATAATGTGAAACAAGTACATGAAAAATAAAACGTCTCCTCTCTGCTCTGATGCAGAAAGCATCATCATACAAAGCCTTTTCTTTTTTACAAAGGTAAAAAAAAATAACTCCAATGGAGGAAGCACAGTCCAGATGTGACCGATCGTGAGAACAGTTGCTGTCTACACAGTTGCCCTGATGAAGACATCAGTCTTCCTGTTCCGATGCGAGGGTCCCGGGACAGAGGATATGTACACACTGTAAAGCCCTGAGGAGAATGTGTGATTTTGGGCTATACAAAAATACATTGAATTGAATCATTTAGTTTGTCCGACCTAAGACACATACGACAGTAAAATGTGGACTAAACGAGCTCAATGTTTGAACCCGTACATTTATCTGGACCAGTAAACATAAAGAGACTTACGCCAGCTGAGTGGGCAGCTTGCTCATCAGCAGGTCACAAGACGCGTTTGAGTTTGTTTTCTTCCTCTTTCCAGTCGGGCTTCTGCTTTTGTCTTCTTCGTTGGTGATTTACGGCAGCCCGCATCCCTTACGTTGCACTGCTGCCACCCCCTGGAGCTAGACCGTTACTGCGCCATTTCCATCCTAGATGTCGCTCTCGAAGTCACACGTTTGATTCCTTTTCTTTCCCTCCACTGTAGAATACTTATCGATATTTCATCTCTTCTTGTTCTGCCCCAGAACCCATACATGCTAGAACCCGGCCGTGTGAGGTGAATAGTGCTGTTCAGTATGTCCCACTCTCATAGTGGACAACTTCACCGTGTGAATGAAAACAAAGATCAACCAATACATTGCTAAAGATCACTCATGATAATAACCAATCAATAAATAATAAAAAAACATCGCTGGCTGTTCATAACAGAAATACAAAAACACAGTTTTTAATAAATGTGTGGGTGCTAAGATGAATATTTAAAGGGGAAACACATGGATCCATTTCACATTCATTCAAATTAATCATTTAATTAATTGAAAAAAATAATTAAGACCATGTGGAAGATGGCTTTTAATGGTGAATATAGCCAATGTCACAATGCATAATTTAATGTAAGACACATTATTGGAAGGGATGTCTCTACATTCTTTTCTCTGACGTCCCCAAACTACGACGCAACAGACTCAAGACTTTATCTCACAAGAACTTTATTACATGAACTCTTTTTACAACACATGGTTAAATGTACATCCATCCTTCTCCTCATAGTTTGGGGGGTCCAGCTACCCTCCATCCCTCCATCTTACCGACTTTAGTGAAGAAGGCCAGTGTGCCCAGACCCAGACACGCCGTTGTACCGGTCATAGCACTGTGGGCTGGAGGGAGGGACACACACACAATATGGCTGCCGTTAGACTGTACGTACATGCACTAAAACCTTTGCAAGTAGAATGCCAAAAATGTACCAATACACCCGTTCAACAAGCATAAACATGATGTTCACATGTAGAAAACAGCACTGCTGCTGCTGACTATGTGGGAGCAATTAACAGTTTGCCTTCATGGTTCAGACTTTGAAACCTTCGTGTAATTATTCTATCACCTTCATAAGTAAAGGCACAACTCTTAACTTCAGCTACAACATCCTCAATGATGACTTCCAGAGGTTGGGAGGTAGCAGAGTTAAGCTGAGGTTATAGTCGCCGTAGTGATGCTATGCGTCGTGCACCTCGGAATTCTTGTAACTTGTCGCGTGTGATCACGTGACTGTCGCAAATGGTTCACTGATAAAAGCACTATTTACATGTGTAGGGATTATACAAAGAAGACCGATTCACTTCCAAAAGCTCTAGAAACTGGAAGTCTTAAAAATCTACTTTCAAAAACATATTTTTCAGCCAAGTCAAATTGTTTCCAGGATATTAAACCTTTGTGTCTTTATTTTGCATTTAATACTTGACTTCTTTCTTTCCAGGGCTTATATAAAGTAGTCTATGAATATGAGATATGAGTTTATAGTTAATTACAATCTCTTTTCTGCATTGTGGAGGTTGGTCTATGTCTTTGTGCTTCTTCACAGTTCATGTTGTTGGTACGCCCTGTGGCATTTCGGAGAATAAAGCAGCGCACAGAGCTTTAGCTGAATGAAAACCTGATACTTACTTCTGGCTCCGAGGAAGATCCCAGAGGCACAGCCCCCGATGAAGTAGTTCAGTGGGTCATCTGGGGCTTCACGGGCCTGAGCACTCAGACAAGTGGCCATGCTGAAAATTGCTCCCATGGAGGCTGGAACGACACAGACGGACCCATATCAGCCGTTTCATACCATACGTGTGGGCCAAAGAACAGCACATGGAGACCCCGTGTTTGGGTCACATGACTGCGAGTCTGTGCTTCAGCACTTTGGATTAGAAATGAAACAATAAGGGTTAAATGCATCCTTTCAGAATGTACTTTAGGATAACGCAGCAGCTCTGCATTGTTCTGAATGCTTTGGTCGCTGTTCTGATATAAAGCATTGTTCTTCAAACACTAACTACACAGTTAAAGACAAAGGTTGATGACAAACTTGATTTCCTTTTAAATGAAAATGCTGCTTAAAAGTGCTTTTAGTAGCGTTAACATCGATCACACCGGTTATGATAACATGCCATCACAGTGCCAGCAGTGAGTAACCTTCACATACAGTATGTATACTTCTGGATTAACGTACGACATAACAACCCTATGCTGACTGTGTGAAGTGCCTCAAGCAGGCTATGAGATTAAGTTTTGCCTCAAATGCCACCACTGAAGTTAAATAGAAAATAAAATCATATTTCATAATATGAGGAGAACCCTTTCTATGGTGGTGGCAGGTGATCATCAGTGATGGTAATGGTCTTTAAGTTAAACGATGCAATCAAGTGCACTAGAAGAAGACAAAGAGGTTAATGACTCCATGACTGGTCCAGCAGGAGAGCTCTTCACTGCATCATGTGTTTGGAAGCAGAATACAGTAATATTGTTTGGTCTTACATAATGATGCACGACAATATGAATATTTACCCATGGTAACCGTGCTGTTGGTAGCCCTCTGTAGCGCCGCCAATGCAGAATCAGGCTGGAAGGCCACGATGTGATAGGCTGAACCAACCAGGCCTGAAGATACACACAGAGAAACACACACAACATGAACAAACTGAAAATGAAACGAAAAAGTCAGAATTCTACTTTAAGCTGACAATGGGCTCGGAGTCAAACTAGACTTTGTCCGTAGCGAGTATAGATGTGTAGTAACATCTACATATTACGAGTTTACAGTCTGGATAAAAGTCCATCCACAACAATGAGCAACATGTGGTGTGTGTGTTGTCCAATCACGTCGAAAGGACAAAGTGCTGACAGTAACAATTCTAAAAACTCAGCTTGAGAGATGTTAACATGGTGTGAACTTTGACACCCTCACACATCTGAGCAATTGTAGCATATTGTGGGCGAGATTGTTGTATCGTCTCTTTTGGAAAGTACACTTCACATGGAAGTCTTCACCCTCATAACAAACACCGTGCGAACACAGAGCGTAAATGGGTCCATTATTGCCCCTCGTGGTGGTTTTAGGCAAATGAAGGCTTATAAAACTTTGGTGCTTTCTTTCTATTGGTGGTTAAAAACTTCAAACGCAGCCAGCACAGCGACATCTAGTGGTTTGTAAGACTTACAGTGGCCCCTCAGGACGACAACACCTCTCTGTTTTCAGTGGTCTTGGTCTCACTGCCAGGTCTCAACAATAAGGGTTGTCTGCTCGGGGCAAGTGCAATGCCACGTTGGGCTAGTCAATTTAGCAACTAGCAAGTGGTAAAAAATACTAGTAACAGGATTTTAGTGGCATGGCATTGGAGGATGCGAGTTCAGATTCATGTCCATAAATAAAGATTTAACATCAAAATTAACTCTAGTGTTTGTTGTTATTTTATAACTTCTAGGGGCAAGTACAAATGATTTTGGGCAAGTAGATTTCTGAAAGCAAGTGGAAAAAAAACATGAACAATGTGTGCACTAAAAGTTCCTGACTGCATATTATTATGAAATTTGTACAACTTCTGAAGTGCTGCATTAAATGTGGATGTTCTTGTGCATCATGTAACAGTAAAATAATGAGTACATGCACTGTCCGTAAAGAGGAGATTTCCTCTTAATCAGAAGTGTTTCCAAACACTATTCTACTTTCCGGATTAGGAGAGACGACAGTGAACGCCTCACCTTCATTAAACAGGGTCCATACGTGCTTACTGAGCGGTTCTTTGGAGCGTCTATCAATCACCCCGATTAGTCAGTTACGTCTAATAGTTACCGTAACGTTACCTCAGATGTCAAACTATAACAAACCAGTAACACACACAAGTTATTCTACACGATAACAGGGTTAATGTGCGCGGTCAGCTCACCCGACAGAAACTCATCAGAATACATACGTTGACCTCCGCAGTGAACTCCACGCAAATACATTTATCATAGAGCTGAATAATAACCTGAACGCAGCTCGCTTCATAGCAGTCCTGTTAGCATTAGCATTAGCTAGAACATTCACGCTAGGTAACGCAGTTATCTTTGCCGGCTCAGCGCGACACCCTCATCTCCGGCAGGCGTTTCCCGCGCTCGTTGTATCAATGCTGATATTTACCCAAAGCGGTGGCTAGTTTGGTTGTGATCCATGTTTTTTCAACACAGCCTGTGCCCTCTGGTAGGTCCCAGTACCCCATTTTGGATTTAGCAAGGACGCAATCGAAAGAGTCAAATTCTCGCGAGAGATGTATTCATCGTAGGTTTTCGGCCGCTGACAACAGTCTACGGTGCACCACCGCCACCTACTGGAGTGGAGGGTGAAGCCGGGCACTGGCGCTGAAACAGAAGGGAAATCAAACACGTGCTCAACCGTTTCATCCGTTAAGTACTGAATTAAATGACTGTCTGTAACAAGGACGCCATATTTATATAACCTTTTCATTAATCAATACGTTTCTTCTCTTATGTGGAGCAAAAAACACCATTTTAACTGACTTTGGTTTGTGCACATAATCCTGCTGTGGAGTGTTTGTGAAGTGTGCAGTTGAGTGCTTTTGGTTCTAACCACAAACAGATGACGATGATGCCCCACTTCTGCTACCAACATACCTTTAGTATTGTAATGGTGTGTCCTGTTTTACTATTATCACAGCAGTGGGCTACTATCTACACAGGAGCCTTAAAAGTGGAGTCAGCAATTCTAATCAGATTTTTCAATGAATTTTTGGCAAATTCAGCAAATACCTCCTTAAACTGTGCACTGACCAAAACAAAGCTGGTGCAACAACTTTGTGCGCTTTTTCAAAATTGACCACACAGATACCCATCTTTAAACCACTTTATTAACTCAACATTGTTTCTTACTCCATTGTTAGCAGGTTATTGATGCTTCAAGGACAGTAACAGAGTCATAGCACTCAGCAGAGCTGTGCCTGCTACACATGGTGTGTATAGTCAGTCACCCTGCCATACAAATGTCCTTGGTCTGTCTCAGTCACTGCGATTTAACCTTTGGGAGGAACCACTTTTTTGGCACGAAAACAACCCGATTAAAACATCCCGTAGATGCACAAATGGAAGTGAAATTTAGATCTTTACTGACGCTGCAGCAGTCAGCCTCTACTTTCACGTAGAAGTCATTTCTTCTTCCAGAAGTGGCTGTATTTGTCGACTTTGAAGTCATCTTCATACTGGACTGCTGTCTGTTTTTTCGTCTTCTTCACTTCTCTCTTTTTCTGTCTGGCTCGACGCTCCTCTTCAGACAGCGTGGACAGATTGACCGGCATCTTTCCAAACAAACAAAGAAACATGAATAAACTTACAAAACATGAAATATGAATGAACATACTCAGGAACCCTTAAGCTATGGGACCAGTGCACCTTCTTCTCTTGAGCAAGGAGGCTAGGATGTGGGTCTGTTAGTTGTCAGTGTTAACAGAGTAGGGCTAGGGTTGTGAAAATATGTATATGCATATCATGAATCTCAAAAAGTGAAAACCGCTTCATAATGTCCTCTGTGGGTCTGAGAAAATAACCCCGATGACATCACTATGACCTCAGCTTTGGCTTGAAAACTATAACTGAACTCAACCCATTCAAGAGACTAACAGACGTGATATTTTGGCATCTGTGGTTTTAATTTGGACTATTGTTTTATGAAATGCCTCTCTGGAAGTCAAGCCAAGATTTAATGTTTAGTGTTAGTGTATTTAGTGTTTGATGACGTGCTACTTTTGTTCTAGTGGCATGCGTCTCCGTTTGTGGTTATGCTGATGTTTTTCTGGCTCATGGTGCTTACAAACAGTACGCCACTATGTTCCACTGTCCTCTACCGCTCTCACAGGCACTGATTCTTATTGACGTATATGCCACGTGACAGGACTATCCACCGTCTACCTGGTATGCCCACGTCTAGCATCGTCAAAACTTGCACCCAACCATGCCGTATTCTAGACCAGTAACAATTCGCACACAGCATAAGCAGATCAGAAACAGTGGTTGTGTCGATACGAATTAGTCTATGACTGTGAGAAGTGGTGTACGAGGGCTCAACAATGGCGATTTCCCTCTTTATTAGGTTTATTTAAATTTAGATTAAACATGACAATTTGTATTGTTATTTGATTACTGCTCATAAATAATTAAACAGTGGCAAGTACAAACAGAGATTTCTAACATGAAAGACAATCATATTGAACCCTTGATATGCATAGTGGAACATACCGTTTTCTATCACCATGAGCCATTTAAACGACACCGACATGTGGAAGATGCCTTAACATTGTGAGAACATGTTTCTATACAACTGTCTGGTCAGTGGAATGAGGCCCGTGGTGTTTAGAAAGTGTACAGCAAACAGAGCGGAGAGTACTGACCATGAGGATGCGTCTGGGTTCTCTGTACCGGATGTTGACGGTGGATCCGTCCGCTCGGACCAGCATCACCGGGTACAGTCTCTCATACTTCTGGCGGCCGCAGCGCACCACGGACGTCCTGTTGGAGCTGAGCTGGGGAGTCTGCGTGTGGAGCCCCGCACCCTGTGGACGGGCGAACACAGGGCAGACACACCTGCCCGTAACGTGACACACACGCACACACACACACACACGCGCACGCGCGCGCACACACACGATATAAGGTTAGGCTAACTTACCACTGTTAACAAGCCGAAGGAATAAACGGCCGTTTACCGTCACGTGACACGTTTGCTACCTTGTTATCTGACTGTGTGGTTGAATATGATGTGACCCTCCTCCATTCATTCCTTCAATGTTTGACAGTAAACTAACAAGAGCTCTACTAACTAACTCTATTTTAACAAACATACATTTTCAAGCAGTATTCTGCGAGTCTTACCGTGATAAAATGTTCTGTGGTGTACACAGCCTCAATAAAAACATGTTTGCGACCAAATAACTGTGACAGGAAGCACTTAACGCGAAGGGCAAACTTCTTCTTCGTTTGGTTTAATGGTGGGCTGCAACCAGTGAGGAACATACCGCCACCTACTGGACCGGAGCATGCAGTTCCCCCTCGAAAACATTAACAGTATGTACATTAACAAGGGTACATATTCAAAGTTGAAAAAAAACAACTTATCAATGTTAAAACTATATATATATATATGAAGAAAAAGTGATACAATATCCATAATAAATAGCCCAAATCGGAGTATGTAGTATGAGATATTGTCCCTGAATCATTTTTACTTTCATCATTAGGTAAATAAAGTAACCCCATAATTGGATACAAGTATTTTTCTTTCAGCATCCTCTAACTTTACATTCAGAGCATTCACCGCATATACTGTTCCCTAATGAAGCATAGCGTTAGTTCATGCAGGACATGGAGGTCATACGCCTCCAGCTGTAACCAGCTGACAGCCAGCTGATTGAATCATGCTTCTAATGGCCACACACCAATTCAATTCAATTCAATTCAATTCAATTTATTTTTGTATAGCCCAAAATCACAAATTACAAATTTGCCTCAGAGGGCTTTACAATATGTACACATTTGACATCCTCTTGTCCCAGGACCCTCACATCGGAACAGGAAAAACTCCCCCAAAAAAAACCCTTTAACGGGGAGAAAAGAGGAAGAAACCTGGGGGAGAGCAACAGAGGAGGGATCCCTCTCCCAGGATGGACAGAAGTGCAATAGATGTCATGTGTAGAACAGGATAGTGAATTACAACACATTCAATGTAATTACAGCACATTCAATGTATGACAGAACCACGGCAGGAGGCAAGACCTGGTCCAGGTATAACCCGGATACACAGGAACCTGTGAGGCGAGAAAGCACAGAGACTCTGGTGAAGAAGCAGGTCAATAATGTGCATTAATGGTATCGGTAATATGAAATAGTAATGCGATTAATAATAAAAGTGATATTTAGCAGTTGGAGTCAGCAGGGCCATGGTAGGAGGAAGGACCAGGGTCCAGATGAAACCATGCTCCATGGAAACCTGTGAGGAGAGAAAGCACAAGGACTCCGGGGAAGAGACAAAATCAGTACTGTGCATTAATGGTATCGGTAATAGGGTTAATAATGAAGATCGTAGTAGGTGTCAGCAGGGCCATGGATGGTTGAAGGACCAGTGTCCAGATAAAACTGCGGTCATGGTAACCTGTGAGGCGAGAAAGCACAAATACTCCGGGGAAGAAGTAAAGTTAGTAATGAGCATTAATGGGACATCAATGCATACAGACAGAGGTGAAGAAGAGGAGGAGAGAGGTGCTCAGTGTATCCTAAGGACGTCCCCCTGTAGTTTTTGCCTATACCAGTTTGTCTAAGGGCCGGTCCAAGGCAAGCCAGAGCCAGCCCTTACTATAAGCACTGTCAAAGAGGAAAGTCTTAAGCCTACTCTTAAATGTGCTGAGTGTGTCTGCCCCCCGGACTGAAACGGGAAGCTGGTTCCACAAAAGATGAGCTTGATAACTGAAGGCTCTGGCTCCCATCCTACTTTTTAAGACTCTAGGAACCACAAGTAACCCTGAATTAATGGAGCGCAGCTCTCTAGTAGGGCAGTATGGTACTATAAGCTCTTTAAGATATGATGGTGCCTGACCAATTCGGGCTTTGTAGGTAAGTAAAAGAATTTTAAATTCTGTTCTAGATTTTACAGGGAGCCAGTGCAGAGAAGCTAATACAGGAGTCATATGATCTCTTTTCTTAGTTCTTGTTAGTACACGAGCTGCAGCATTCTGGATCAACTGGAGAGATTTCAGAGACTTATTAGAGCAGCCTGAAAATAAGGAATTGCAGTAATCTAGTCTAGAGGTAACAAATGCATGAACTAATTTCTCTGCATCGCTTTGAGACAGGATGTGACTGATTTTTGAAATATTACGTAGATGAAAAAAGGCAGTCCTAGAAATTAGTTTTAACTGAGAGTTAAAAGACAAATCCTGATCAAAGGTAACTCCAAGATTCTTTACGGTGCCGCTGGATGCCAGCGCAATGCCATCTAGAGAAACTATATCATTAGATAACTGATTTCGGAGGTGTTCTGGGCCTATTAGAATAACTTCAGTTTTGTCTGAGTTTAACATCAGGAAGTTGCAGGTCATCCAGGTTTTTATGTCCTTAAGACATGCTTGCAGTTTAGCGAGCTGATTGGTTTCATCTGGTTTGATCGATATATATAATTGAGTATCATCTGCATAACAGTGAAAGTTTATAGAGTGTTTTCTGATAATATTGCCTAGAGGAAGCATATATAAGGTGAACAAGATTGGTCCAAGCACAGAACCTTGTGGAACTCCATAATTGACGTCGGTCTTCATCGAGGCTTCATCGTTTACATAAACAAACTGAGATCGATCCGATAAATAGGATCCAAACCAGTTCAGTGCGGTTCCTTTGATGCCAATATAATGTTCAAGTCTCTGCAACAGGATGTAGTGGTCTATAGTGTCGAACGCAGCACTAAGGTCTAACAGGACAAGAACAGAGACTAGTCCTTTGTCTGATGCGATTAGAAGGTCATTAGTTAATCACAGCCCACTCTCACCTCAAGGAGGTTCATTTTAATAGGACTCCCTCCTCACTGATCCTTTCTACACCTATGCTGTTACAGACCGTACTGCTGGCAAAGCTTTGCCTCCTCCACCCCAGCCTCCACCCTTTCTAGTTCAGAGTTCATCTTGCATAGCAAATGGTTGAAATGCATTCAAAGTTTACTTCAGGCTCATTCCTGTATACCCGGGGGGTTTATGCATGGTGCTCCCTGTTTTGGCTTAGTAGCTGCTTGGCTAAATCCAGGGAGCATGTAAAGAGTGGAGCCGTCAGCGCCAAGTTTACCTGTATTTCCATTTGTTGCAATAAATGGTTAAAAATCTATGACAAGAGTTCCTGACTGAACCATGTTTTATGTAATCCTGTGTGGTCGAACACACTCAGTACTGTGCATCTCGTACATGCGGAGCACTGAAGCGGCTCTTGCTTTGCTTACGAATCAGCTTTATTGACCAAGGATGCGTTTGAGGTTATTGTTAATGTGCACTAACAACAAGATGGCGCCGATGGCAGCCTCGGTACTGCGCTCTCTGGTACTTTTGTTTTGCACCATTACCACCATTCTGCGCCAATACCTCAATTCCATTGTCATTGTTGTTTTTCTTTATGTTCATATATATACTTTTGGATATAGATTTATATTGTACACAGTAGTTAGATGTTTATGCTTACCTCTGTTCTACTTTGTTGTCCTTGTTTTATATTTTTATTTTGGTTTTTTTATTTGTATATCCTGTGTATGTAAGTTGAGAGCAACGTGAAAACCGGAGTCAAATTCCATGTAAAGCTGATTCTGATTCTGATTGTTAACGATTTACTGGCAGATACAAACGACATACACCTAGAAACAAGGACACTGTTAGTCAAATATATCACCATCTGGCCTAACATCGTGAACAACGTGCGTATTATTTATTTGCTAAATATATGTTGTGATAAATCAAATTGAGGTAAATTGGCTCAGAGAAAAATGGGACTTTGGATGCTTATTTATTGAAGGATTAAGTACAGTATTAGTAGACAGCTCGATGAGAGAATGACACACTTTGAACTAGAAAAGTGCACTCAGTAGAGTGCAGATCTCTAATAGGTGTGTCTCCCTCTCCTGTCCCAAACAAAGAAGAGTTGATTCTCACTCAATTGTCCCTCCAGGCTCCCTTACAGTCAAGATGGCAGTCAAGAAACGAAAGTTACGAATGTAACTACGGTTCTATGAATCCCGGATGACCGCCAGAGGCAGTGCTTCACACTGGATATCTTCTGTCTCGCGCATGCGCAGGTCGAGTATTTATATCAACAAAGTCACCTGTGACCTCGGATGACCCCCGTCGTCTATAAGTTCCGGTATCATCCTGAGATCAGTCCTACGGAATCTTCTCGTGAATTCACGGGATTCCGAGTGACCAAGAACTCTGACGGTCATCCAGGATTCATAGAACCGTAGTTACATTCGTAACTTTCGTTCTATTTCATCCTTACTGACCGCCAGAGGCAGTGCTTAACACTGGATGACTTATATCAACAGAGTCACGAGGAATCACAAGTACCTACCTCGTATAGCTCAGGCAGAGGAAGCTGGCCAAAGAACCCTCCCCAGTGGGTGAGGGGTGGCAACGTTAACTCTGTAGTGTCTGGTGAATGTGCTCGGTGATGCCCATGAGGCCGCAGCACATATATCCTCCACAGGCATACCTCTCAGGGCTGCCCATGACGTGGAGACACTCCTGGTAGAGTGGCCCTTCACTCCGGATGGTAGAGTATGGTCGCTCGCCTTGTATGCATAGGCAGAGAACAGGCAGGGGACAGTCAGTGAGAGGGGAGCGAGGCCACTCTCTTCACTAGGATAGTTGCTGCAGATATTGGTGTCCCACCAGTTAGCTTTAGCGGGAACACTCTGTTAACTGTGAAAGGCGGCCCGACAGCGTAACTCTACGCTCCCGTTAGCACGCCACTCGATTAGCTACAACGGAGGCACTCGGCCAACCGTGGAAAATGAACAATGGTTATAGAAAAACAATGTTAATCGATCTCACCGATTGCTGTCTTCGCGATTTTGGTGGCCCTTATCAGACTGAGTCCGGGGCTCGATGGTCCGCACGGCGAACACGCCGTTCCCTCCTAAGGCGGACAGCTTGTCGCAGCCTTTGGAGGGCAAAGATCCGCAACTCCGACCGGTGGTCACAAGGCTACCGCTACAAACTCTAACATGTCTTGATCGTAGACAAAATAATTTCTTATTCTTGTTTAGTTTCTACTAGCATGGTAGTTAACCTGCATAGCGAGAAGATGAAAAAGGACTGATCTCAGGATGACACCGGAATTTATAGACGACGGGGGTTATCCAAGGTCACAGGTGACTTTGTTGGTATAAGTACTCGACCTGCGCATGTGCGAGACAAAAGATATCCAGTGTTAAGCACTGCCTCTGGCGGTCAGTAAGGATGAAATAGAACAGGGATTAATGCATCTCATATCATGTCTAACTTTAGTGGGTATGGAATTAATCTGCAGATGATCCAGTTGAGACCAAACTTGCACTGCAACCAAGTGAGGTCATTAAGCATACAGTCATGAATGAGGATGGAAAATATCAAGCTGATGGGTCCAGTAGTGTGCGAGATTAGCCGTGGACAGACAGATACACACACGCAGACACACACAGACCAAACGCATGATCTCACAGGCTTACCTTCTAGCGGAGATAACAACATGCCAACAATAACTTAGAAAGAACTATACAGGTCTAAGCAGCATGTAGGAGCAGCATATGGTCATTGATCAGTGTTGACCGATTAGATATAGGGATGTACCGATAACAATACTGACATGGGATATCTGTCCAATTCTGACTCCGATAGCTGGATCTGGTATCGGATACCATTATTTTAATAAATACCAATTTAGTACATTTATATCTATGCATTTATTTGTTACATTTTGTTTTACTAAACTAGTAAAGGAATGTTTAAGTCAAGCCTTACATACAGAACAGTGATCCCAGTCTCTTCCACACAGTGAGACATACAGCATATTAATTAAACACTGGTATCGGATCAGTACTCGGTTCCGGCCCAGGTGTCAGTATCGATATGTGGACTGAAAAAGTCAAATCGGTGCATCCCTATACTTAACATGAAATCAAACTACATACTGCACCGTACCCAGAGCCAACTGTTAATCCCCTTTTAAATTAAGTCATGTATGTCAGGGCTTGCCAATTATAGCTAACCAGAGAAGTTTTCCTGTCTCGATAACAGACTGATTAATAATTAAGCTCCAGGTTGACTGCACTGATTCCCACGTCTCTGTCAGGGTCAGCAGGATCGACTAGCTCAGTTATAGAGTCAGAGGAACTCATACAGGACAATCGCTGCAGGACTGAGTGCCTTTAACACAATCTGGAATATTGGAATCAGCATGTCTGCCAGTCTCACTACAGGTATGACCTTCTTTAACTCACATTCATGCTCGTTGACTCCGTGAACTACTGCTTATACAACAGCAAGCTCTATTTTTATGGCAGGTCCTAAGCAGACTTTACAGACAGCTCTGCAAAACATGTGAGACAGGAACACAGGGAAGGCAGAGATACAAACTATACAGGAGACAGATGCGTGTTAAAACAGCTGATTCATCAACTCTTAACAGGAATGGACATTACACATCTGTACGGGCTTTTCACTACAACACCTGCATTATCATTTCACCTTTAGCCCGTGCAAGACAAACCTTCTTGGCCTTATTGGGGTATGATAAGGAAGGAGTAATGTATCTTTGGGGCCTGTAGGTGGAATGGTCATCTGAAAGTGTCAGTTCTCTTATGTCACAAAAACAGATTTTCCACTGAGACCTCTGCCACCAGCCCAAACTTATGGAGATGCAGCTGTGAGCTCTGTGGGTAACTGTATCTGGAATAGCTTTCTCCACACATTCACATCGACCACATATACTGGAACCATTTGGTTGAAATGTATTTTTTTTTTCAGTTTACTGTTAATGCTCGTAAGTACATTTGAGTTAAATTACTACACACAAAGCCTGTTTAAATAACATCCAGAATAGTTTTTTAAAAATCCAAGTGGCTTCTACTTAAGACATTACTCAACTACGCTTTCATAATTAGGGGTACAGGAAAAAAATTCATCTATAATTTTGTGCACTTTTGGAGCGTTTCTTTTGCACCTCACATCTCACATCTCATCAGAGCTCTGACTGGACTTCTGTTGATACGTGATGTGAGTCCCGATTGAATTGTTGGAAACGATTCAATCTCCATCTCCAATCTCCAATAACTACGACCCGCCCCTCCTACCTGCTACAACTAGATCTGTTGTGAGGAAAAGCAATCACTTTGGTGCTTGTTTCAGCTCAGTACTGGCTCTCCCAGCCCTGAACTAAAGGTCCGACTCGGGCTGCACCAGTCACAAGTTCCATGCTACAGTCATAAACCAACCATGAACTTTAATTTGTCCCCTTTTAGAAGTTTATTACTGATCAATCATGAAATCCAACAGTCTGTAATCAGTGTTTATAGTTGTTTTCTTTACCTTGGAGTCGATTTGTGAGTTGTGCAATGTTGCAGTTGGTCAGCTGGTCTCGTTTACTGCCTAAGGTCGTTAGTCACTGGGGGACTGACTCAGTGAATTAAGTGACTCGAAGTCTCGATTCAATTTAATGAGTGACTCGTAGAAACCTGAGTCACTAGAAAGAGTCAAACACTTTCAGCCACACTTTTACTGGAAATTCAGCCCCACTGTTGTCACAGCTGACATTCCGGCATCCTCTACAGCGTTGTTGAATTACAGTTAATACGTGTACTTTGTATATATTGTAGTTATATCTCTGCTGTATGCTTTGATTTGTGTGTACATAGCTGCAGGCAGCAGCTCCTCAGGGTTCACCACTGGAGCCCCTCCCAGCACAGGTATCAGTGTGCATGCTGCTGACATCGCTGTGGTTGTCGTGTACTTTGTCTTCGTCATGGTGGTTGGGATCTGGGTAAGACCTGGAAGTGGCTCAACTCATGTAACACTTGCACCTACACTATCTTAAGACCTATCCCAGGTGTTATAACAGGTGTTCATGAGAGTGTGTTAAACCCCTGTGAGCTCACACTTAAAGCTGCAAAACGTATTGATTCACACATCATCAAACAACTATTGTAAAGATATAGTGGAGATCCAGCAGTGTGTGTAGTATCCAACCCACTGTGTCAGAGCTGTTGCCGTTGTCCGCACTGTTAGCGCTGTTAACTGCTAGCCACCTGCTCAGCCGTCATCATGTTGAGAGCCTTGTGCAGGCGATCCCTCAGTCATAGCTATGCTTTGAATTTGGAATGTAGCTCCTGTAACTAATTGAAATATATAACCATTTTTAGTTTTCACAAATGCTTTAAGTGTCCTAAGACATGATTGGAGAAAATGCTAAGCCCTGGATACTACCAGGTTCCTGACAAAGAGCCAGATTGGGCTCTAAAAGTGGTACTTCTCTTTATGTGAAAAATATTAAAGCTTTACAGTACATGAACAGGTGACAGTGGTTCAAGTCCTTTTTATGAGTGCACGTTTCTGTACATGCTAAACACGTTTCTGGATTTGAGATATTTCTTTCATAATCTAGGCTACCTGAAAGGTGCTTGTTCTTTAATGAGTCAGTATGTGTTTTACTCATTATTTTATGTAAAGAGAACAGCAATTCTGGAAGCTCATGGTGCTCATTGGTTGTAAATGTGTGATACTGCATGAGAACACAGTTTGAAGTATCCTGCTGGCCTGCTCTCTACCTCTGCCTCCTCTACAGTCGTCAGCGCGAGCCAATCGCAGCACTGTGAGGGGCTACTTCCTGGCTGGCCGTTCAATGACGTGGTGGCCTGTGAGTATATCTGACTGGCGTGGGATGTTTTCTTCTCAATTCCATAAGAACATGTTGATGTGCTGTATGTCATATACAATATGTCTTTGTCAACATGTTGTACTGTTTTTTGTCTGAATCTTTGTTCTGTTTGGACTGAAGACATCACAGAGCAGTTATTCTGACAGTAGAGGAGTCAGCCAATAAGTATTGAGATGTTTCAGCATATTAAGCTTTATTAACAGTATGAATAACAAAGTTGTTTTTTTTATAGATCGGTCAGATCCAAACTACGTGTGGTGCATTCATTTAGTAAAAGAAAAAAAGCCTCTTTATTATTCTGAGCTATGATATATTGACTTTTCATCGCACATACAATGTCCTTTGATTCTAATATGGCAACACTTGATAAACAGTATCCTCAGCTCTTTAGCAGACCCTGTGTGATTCAGACGTGCTCAGTGTGACACTTAGTCTGCTGCAGATCAGTTTCTCCCATTTCACACAGTTTAGTCAGATCAAAAAGTAGAGGAGATGTCTTCATTATACAGACGTTTGTGCAAGAGCATAGGAAAAGATACTCTTGAAAGCTCAAAGGTTTTATAACTATTTTCCTCGACCTTTCCCCTCCTGGTGCAGGTCAATACCAACATTTCTTCCATCTAGTCCCTGATTTCTTAAGAGCATTGTCTTTTTATTTTTTGTGATAGGCTAATTAGGCCTAAATAAATAGAAAACACATATATTTGAAAGTCCGGCCCCACATTGACTGCTTGGAAAATTCGAGCCCTTGGACAAATGTAGTTGACGACCTCTGCTTCATCGTGTTCAGGAGTCATGTTCAGTCTCAGCAGGATGTACCAGGAGGTGAGTGATGTTGATATCCAGTATGTCTGAGGACTAGAATACCCAGAAGTCTCCAAAGGAGCTTGATTCAGAGAACGGCTGTGTTCAAGAGTTCCAGACAGGGTTACATAGATTGAAGCCTGATTCTCAGAGACGAGGCAGCCACAACAAGGTCACTGTCCTCTTCCCTCCTACATGTTTGTCTACTAAACAATTACACCACAATACAAGGACTGTAATCTAAAGCCTTATTAAATATTGTATACATTCTACTTTCTGATATAATAGACAAAAGCCTTTGTTGTTAATGTGTATATGTTGTATGTGTTTTCAGATTGGAGCCTCTCTGATGTCCAGTAATGTTGGCAGCGGTTTGTTTATTGGTCTAGCAGGAACAGGAGCAGCCGGAGGCATTGCTGTTGGGGGATTTGAATGGAACGTAAGGATGACTTTGTGATTTTAGGAGAGAATGGGGCGACCAGTCATTCAAGTCTTCTTTTTCCTCATCTAATACATATAGTACATACTGTATATCCAGTATACTGTATATAGTCAATATATAGCGGATGCACCTTTGGCAGTGATTGCAGTCTTGAGTCTGTGTGAATAGTTCTCTATCAGCATTGAACATCTGGACATTCTTCATTGTGAATCTGTTCAAGCAGTGCATGGAGATAGTCAGTGAAACGCGTTTTTTTCAAATCCAACTGCAACTTAGCTACTGGATTGAGCTCAGTGGGCAGATGAAGAGAAACATGTGTGCTCACAAAACCCAGGCCTTGACTTTCCCCACACATCTAACAAAGAAGAATGTGTGGTGAGACCCTCACAGACACTTCAGACATGAGTCTTAGATGAGAGTTGAGTTGAGAGACAGGTTTTGTTTGAGCCATCATCTTCCATTATATCCTGAGTTGTGAAGCACTTTGTGAGGTCTGTTCCAACATTAGAACTATGAATGAATCATCGTCATCCTTCTGACGTGTATTAATAGTGATAGATACCCCGATGATGGTTTACAGATGCATGTGATAAATGAATGATATGGACATTATGGTGCTGTTGGAGAAGCTCACAGATGTCACACAGTGGTTCTTCTCTCTGACAGCTCTGATGAGTGGTGGAGCAGGGATAAGTAATGACATGCAAACTGATTAAGAGTGTTTCTACATCCATTCGTGGCTACCTGTGGGGGTTGTAGGCTCCATAATGATTTAGATTTAAAACACAAAACCAGTTGAACGTGCAGCTTCATGAATCTGACAAATAAAGGTTGTGTTGGAACCATCCCTGTAGCTTTGACTTTATTCTGGGGCTCATTGTCTTGCTGGAAAAAAGATCTTCCCCGAAGGTTTTCCTTGTATAATTTTAGCAGAGACGCGAGCATGATGCTGCCACCGCCATGTGTCATGCTAGGGCTGGCATCTCATGATGATGTGCAGTGTTTGGCTTACACCACACATGGTGTTTAGTCTGACAGCCAAAACGCTCAGTTTAGGTCTCATCAGATCATAGAACCTTCTTTCAGAAGGGTTCATTGTGGCCTCTGCAGGTAACACTTTACAATACAGTATTGTAGTAATTAAATAGGTATTGTAAGTGTTATGCTTCTGATATGTCGTGGGCTTTCTATGGCTCGACAGTCTGTCCTTCCAACGGTGATTTTGTGGGAAGCCTGGAAGGAATTTCTTACAATTTGGCACAAACACCCACCTGGACTCAAGGATGAACTGATTAGAATTTGGTGGTCAAACGTCAAGGTGAATGTGACCTCACATGTTAATGGAAATAGCTCAAGAATCATTTGCTAATTATGAAAATATCACACAGAAGTCTAATAGGATAAGATGATGAATTGTTGACTTTTGGACATGATGTAAACTGCAACATGACTGGTTGGGAGGAGGCGTACAACCTCGAGGCAGTACTTCTAGTTTTTAGAGGCTTTCTCTTTGCCACTCTCCCAGTAAGATGTGACTGGTGAGGCCAAAAGCTGTCTTTAAAATCTCAACCTCTGATGCTTGAAACCCCTTGTGTGTGACAACCCTTCACCTCTTGGTGACGTCTAGACAGATATACTACTGTTCCATTCTCTTTCCATTTCTCAATGATTCATGAAACTGCACTGGGATATGTTTCTTGTAACCGTCCCCTGACTTTTGCTTTTCAATTATCACCAAGACCCACCAAAAGTTGGACCCTCCACATTGTTTACATCTGTGTGTCCTATTCCAGTAAAGTGGGTGAATACTTATGCAAACATATCTTATATTTTTTGTTTTGTACAATGTCAACCTATCCAATTCTTATCCTGTGTGCATTGCATTCAATATAATGACACTAAAGTGATTACAGGACAATAGCGGACACATACTGAGGCAGTGTGTGTGTGTGTGTGTGTGTGTGTGTGT